CCGACTTTGATGATCGAGTATGTCTCGTCGGAGGTGTAAAGCAAGTCGATAGTGTAGGCCAGGCGCACGACACTGGCGACACAAGCGCTGCTTGCAGTCAGTACATTGACCCCTGAATTCATATATTCCTCGTGACTGATTCTCCTCATGACTTACAATAGACCAGTAGCGAACACAGCCGCAACACCGATCTTCCTCGTGTTCGCCATCTGCAATTTCGAGATCGCTACCATAGGAAGAATCAATATCAAGAAATCGGAAAGAACGTTCCATGCCCCAATAGCAATATAATTGTTCTCAATACTGATGCAGTGACCTGGAGTCAATGGATTCCAGATCTTCTCTCGTGGCGTGCATGCGAAGATCTCCAAAAATGTCTCGATGAAGTAAAAGAGCAGGTTAGTCCAGATGAGTACGTGGACGCCGTAGAAGACGAAGTTGCGCTTGTGTGCCACGAAAATTCTTTTGTATTGTAGAAGGATGGCAAGCTTTGCGATGGCGATGATGGGCCCGTATATGATCGAGCCGACATTCGAGGTCTAAATCAGAGACACTGTTAGACTATACACGCCTGTTTGTCAAGATTGGGAGCCTACCCTAGCGACTTTAATAACATTGATCACATTCACATCCCATTGGTGACGTCCAGCTCCTTGGGATTGCGCATCTAATATGACACTGCCAAAAGCAAGGATACCCATCTGTATTCACATCAATCGAAAGATCGCTTGCTGGGTGGCGCATCATCCTACCCAAGCTACCAAACAACACCCTGAAAACAAGTCAGCTTTCTCCTCTATTTTGAGCTCGGGCAAATTTGCATAATACTAACAGTCTTCCCACTGAAAAGCTCGATCAACGCAATACTTCGTCAGCAGTCGCACGAGCACGAATATCGTTGTGAACGTAAAACAGATTGCCATTGTCGCATTCGCGACGCCCTCCAGAGTACCTGAGGGGTTGATGAAATTGGACACAACCCCCGCCGGAGGCATCAGAGCTGGCGTTTGAGCCAGCTCTGTTGGGGTCAGGCCTGCCAGAGGGTTTGCCATAGTTGCTCATTCAGGAGTCACGGAACTTCCTGTATATGTGTGGAAATGTTCAGCATATACAGAATGTTGGCCATCGTGGGGGCCAGCGCAGGAAAGCCTTCGAATTCTCCGCTAACCGTGCCTCAGGGGTTTCTTCACGAGTTGGACCCTTTAACCTCGCCAACGTTTGAGGTGTAGCAGGCGTAGTCTCGCAGCGAACGCATCTGATGCCACAACTGCCAGAACCCGGAAATGTCGGGCCATCTTGTTCTCGTTAATTTCCTGCGGTCTTTTTGAAAGCGAGCATGCACGTGCCACACGAGATATCCGCTTGGCTTTTCAAGCTTTAATAGCCGGAGCACAAGAATGGTTACGAATAAGGCACGGTTCGTTAGTGATCTCGGCATGACGCCACAAGCCACTTGCGGATCTGTGCCTACTTACGCACAGGGTCTGCATGGAAAGCAAGGATAACTCTGTTTCATTCCTCGCTCAGCCAGCTGACATGACGAGTCATAGCCTCCAATATTGGATGGACAAGAGACTCCAAATAGATTCTTTCCGTGCGAACCTTTGAAGGACGGAACGATTCGGTCGATACTCGCAAAAGGAAGCATTCTCCGGCCGTATTCAAACCCTAGACGGTAGCTCGGGTAGGTACTGTAGGTATCAGCAAGTTTGAGCACTAAAAGAGCTACCATATCACTTGTGTTGTAGCTCGAGGCCCGCTACCCGATACGGCAAGGCCCGCCTCAACCCTAAGGCAACCACGACGCAGCTAGCCATCGCCCCAACGTCCAGTGGCCAATGACACAAGGTTCGAAATACAACCGAGGGGTTGCTTGCATAGAACCGTATTTGGCACAAAGATAACTCTCCCCGTTGACAAATGGCTCGGACCAAAGATGCGTGCGGCAAAGAATTTGGCAGAATGATTGTGAAACACTATCACAGGCGGTCTGACAGCCTGCAGTATCACAACGTAGCATTGTGTATAGGTAGCATTGCTATGAAGAGCTACCAATAGTTCTATTATGGCTCTTCTTGCGCGTGTTACATCGTGCCAGAGCAACTCGCAACGTAACTATAAGTAGCGGTCGATGCGCTCTTTGAAAGGGATGCCGTAGACACTGCCTGCGAGTGAAGCACTAATGCTGCCCTAAAGGGCAGACTAGGTTATCATGGATCGTCTCGCGAGAGACCCTTCAAGAACAATAACAAGGTGTATTTCATCGAAGCTTTCCTTTGCTCTTTTGTGTCGAGAAGGCATGGAGGAGCGCAGCGTGCTCTTCGATTAAAGTAACCAATGGAGGTGACACTTCGAAGACTGGAAATTTGATTTGAGAGCTCCTCAACTCCTTCCAAATTGCGCTAGAAGAAGGCTATCAAGTCGAGAGATAGAAACTGAGCCTCGGCCTCATGTGATCCTGCTTTGAAGAGGAAATCGACTTTGGCAAAGATGATACCGCACCATGCACCTGGAATCGAAGCGGGGGAGCTCAGTTGACACCGACAAGGACAGGATCCCGGATTATCGGGGTTTGTGTAGTTGAGCTCGGAAGCGCACTCGATCATAGCCAGGAGTCCCCTTTGATCCTTTTGAATAGTGGCATTAAATAAAGCATGACCATCCACAGGTTCCAGATCCGAAAGGTCATTTTATCGGCTGAAACTGATCTTTTAGCGAGAGTTCGGAAGATGACGATAGCACCGGTAATTATTGACATCGCATAAGCGCCTGGACCCAACTGCCAAAAGGTGGGACAGACGACAGACCAGACTGCCATCGCGATAGCAATCGACCACCTGGCATAATGATCTCCAACCACAAGCGGAACTGTTTTTCTTCCGCGTAGTCCATCACCGGCCTGATCGTACATGTCTTGGGTTTGTACGCTGGTGAAGACAACAGCACCAATGATGAGAAACCACGGCCACGCAATCGGCTTGAAGGGACTGCCCAACAACTCGGTTCTGGAAGCGACTTCGGTTGCACCGGATGCGTAAGAAAGAAAGCCGCAGGCATTGATGAAGTTCCGCGTTATGCAACTGTGATCGGCACCTCCCAGATCGTTGTACCACCAACCCAGAAGTATCAGTGCCAAACACTGCTTCAGACCTCCCAGTTTCAGACTCGCAACGATTGCTGCAGGATACAGACTCCACATCAGCCATTTGGCGTGCTTCTCAGACAGTCTTCCGGACGGCATAGATCTCCATGGCTTATTCTCCCTATCTTCCTCGATCGCCTCTGGTTGTCGTTGGTTGTCGATGGCGAAGGGTAAAAGGTTGATCCAGCACCAAAATGCAACTCTTGGTATCCGGCTGAGAATGGCGGAAAAGTCTGGAGACTGATTCGTCGTAAGGATGGATCCTGAAAGAGCACTGAGGATCCCAAAGGCTGTCTCTGGCCCGACGATGGTCTTCAAGTCGCTGTACGTGAAAAGCCAGATTGTTTTGCCATGATAGAAGAGGTCTCGCTCTACTGAGATTACGGGCTCCTGTGGTCAAGCGTAAGAGAGGTTGGCCGGCAGAAGAAGATTTGCCACTTGGAAATTGGAAATTACCAAGAGGTAGTAACACTTACCATTGGTCTCTCACTCAATTCATGGACTTTCGCGCCCAGCTCCTGGACCTTTTCAAGAACACCAAAGGCGTCAACAGCGGTTTTAATATCCATCTTGAATGAGATGTGTTTGGTGTAAAATCAGAAGATGGCAGAGCAAAGTGTATATAGTATGGACAGGAAGGAGATACGGATGCAATGAATATGATGCGTGGCACCATCCCACTGGTCGATTAGGCCGGGCACGTCTAGCAATACTTTGTTTTCCACGGACATCGGAGTAATGGCCTTATCTGTCCTGGTCGTGATAGCTGCTTTGTTTCCCCTTGACTGGATTTCTCTGATGGCTGGACGACACACTCTGCCCAATGATGTGGGTGCAAAATTCGTGCCGCAGAATTCCACTCAGTCATACTGGTGTCCATCCTAGGCCAGGATAGTAAATCAATGCCTCTGTGGCCATCCAGCGAAACGTCATCAAATCCAGACAAGCATTTTAACCTTCCCGACGGCAAAACTACTGCATGCGTCGTTAGGGACTCATTGGCGCTTCTCATCTGATGGGTGAAGGTACCACATTTCTGTAATTCCATGCATGTCTGGGCTCTCGTTCCTTACGTTCAGCGAGCCTGGTCCAAAAAGCGCTCTAGATGGCCGTCCAAGCCAGCGGCTGAGGTATGACTGTGACCTCTTACTTTCCCTAGATGAACCGAGGTGTGTGTGGACTAGCTGGATGGCACAGCAGCATCCATCCACCCATCCATTCATCCATCCATCCAGTATGTAAGAATGTGGGCCTCGGGCCTCAGGATTCGTAGGACTCAAGCTTCCGGCATTAGAGAGCTCCGGCATTGAAGGATTGGAAGTCCGCCGCATTGAACTCAATTCTGTATAGGAACACATGGCGTGAAAAAGTGGCCCAATCATGCAAGTCCATTCTGGCGTAGACCATTGATTCGTGCGAATAAAGGGTGACCGTCACACAAAATCAATAGCTATGTAGATGCATGAGAGCGGACCTAAGAACAGATAGTCAACCTCAAAACAAGACAGCTGAGAAGCAAATTGCTATTCTCTTTTCTTTCCTTGTCTTTCCTCCACATTGCTTGTGCAAGGTCGCAGCTCCTCTGCCTGGTGCCCAAATGAATCAAAGGAAGGAAGCAGATAACGCATGTCTCCGCTTCCCCGATCTCAATCACTCGATCACGGCAGAGACCAACGCTCCACTTGTAGGGAGCAGCCGTAAAAGCTCACCTGCGTCAGTAGCAGCATGCTTACGATCCTGGAGACATCTATTGGAAGGAAGCACGGGACGAAGTCTAGATAGACCAGGAGCTAATGACGCAGCATGAATGCAATACTTTACCTTAGTATTTAAACGATGACACTATTTTAGTGTCCCGATGTTCACCCGAGGTATGTCCCTTTCTACAACCCAATCGTTCCGCTCGCTCCACCACTCTTGCAGCCGTGACGAGAAAGCGAACCGAATGGGCCTTTGGTCTCGCCGAGTTAACGGCAACAAGGGCATTCAAGTCGCCATACCCAGCTGACCGTCAAGACGGTTCAGAGGCTAATCAAGACCAGGAATTGGGAGACCCAAATGTGGCGGGCAGTCATGCAGGCACCCTTATTATTCCCCATGGGCTACCGCAGACACCGCGAGAGCCAATTCGAACTTCATCGGCTTTGCTTCAGCCTAAAGTACCTAGTAGTATCAGCCGACCTCCCAAATACGAAGCCGATGTTATCTATCCGTACAGGACATCGCTCTCGGCCAATGTGTTCAGTGTTATGTTTCTGGACCAGGCGTCCGGCGAGATTCAAGGCTCGTTGCCAGATCGACATGAAGCCTGAAGGCCCTTTATAGTGCTTGCAGTGTGCCCTGAAACCTACAGAATGTATGAACCTCTTCATTGAGAATGCTGCAACAGACAAAGCTCTGCATAGCAGCAGCAGCGGGCATCCTCTCTCACAATCTCATCTTCATCCGCAATGAGCACCACATTCAAGCTCCGCAGCTCTTCCGCTCCTTCTTACTTGTCTCCTTATTCTTATTTATCGGTGAGGCCAGAATATGGGCGCTCAGCGAATCAAGTCAAGCAGCCAGAGCGTCCGCGCTCATAGTCCTTTCATATAGCGCCTCTCTGTTTACTAGCATTGCCATATATCGCATCTTTTTCCATAAATTACGCAAATTTCCAGGTCCCATAGGGGCCCGAGTATCAAAATTCTGGCATGTGGGCAAGCTGTTAAGCCAGCCGAACTTTAGAGTGCTGGATGAGTTGCATCAGCAATTTGGAGATTTTGTTCGCACTGGTGAGTATCGTAGTACCTCCATCAAGGCTGAAAAAGTTTCTGAAGAAACATACATCTAGGCCCAAATGAGATCTCAATCCGCTCTCCCTCAGCAATGGGTGAGATCAATGGCCCCGGCAGCAAATGCACCAAAGCCCCCTTCTACGACCTTCTCCTTCCCCGAACCTCTATCATAACCACCCGCAACAAAATATTTCACGACCAGCGCCGCCGAATCTGGGACCATGGCTTCGGCGCCAAAGCTCTAAACCAATACGAACCTCAAGTAAACCATTACACCTCTATCCTCACATCCGCCATATCCCAGCGTCTGGGTACGCCATTGGATGTAACATCCTGGTTCCACTACTTCTCCTTCGACCTCATGGGCCAGCTCTCCTTCGGCAAATCCTTCAACATGCTCGCAACCGGAAAACGTCATTTCGCCATCGACCTGATGCGCGATGGGATGACGCTTCTCGGTCTCTTCACGCCCATGCCCTGGCTCGCAAGGATCGGCTTCAGCATCCCCGGCGTGGCTTCCGGCTGGAAATCGATGTTCGTATGGTCGGACGCCCAAATGCGCGAACGCATCGACCGTGAAGATGACGGCGAGAACAACGACATCACCTCCTGGCTCATCAACGCTTCTCGCGAGAACAACTCCCTCGAGGCCGACCGCAGTTGGCTCAACGGCGACGCCTTCGGGATCATCATCGCCGGCTCCGACACAACGGCCACCACGCTCGTCATGCTCTTCTACCACCTCGCCCTCGACCCGTCTCAAATCTCCAAAATCCGCTCCGAGCTCGACCAACTGGACGCAAACCCCGACGCCCGAGCCCTCCAATCCCTCCCCCACCTCAACGGCGCCATCAACGAAACCCTGCGCCTGCACCCGCCCGTCCCCTCCGCCGGCCTCCGCGAATCCCCCCCCGAAGGCGTCACCATAGCCTCCACCTTCATCCCCGGCTCCACCGTCCTCTGTCTCCCCGTCTACTCCCTGCACCGCCTCCCCTCCTGCTTCGAGCGCCCTCTGGAGTTCATCCCGGAGCGCTGGTACTCCGAGCCCGAACTCGTGCACGACAAGGGAGCCTTTGCTCCATTTTTCCAAGGGAGGTTTGGCTGCGTGGGCAAGCACCTTGCGTTGATGGAGATCAGGTCCGTTACCGCTGCACTGCTGAGTAGATACGATTTGGGATTCGCGCCGGGGACGGGGAGGGGGGAGGCGGTGGAGAGGGATATGGGGGATCAGTTCACGGCGACGCCGGGGAGGTTGGAGTTGGTGTTTACGGAAAGAGATAGGAGGAGTGAGGGCTGAAATCGGTGAGCCTAGTGCGTAGAGCCATGTGGTAAAGACCGACCATTCCGTTCCAAAACGAAGTTATACATGGGCTTTGGGCCGCGAGTTTCCATGTCGATTTTGCGGTACGCGGAGCAGCTTTGTTTTTCGGGCCCCCAAATACCTGTCTCCAGTAGTTGCAGGAAGGGTTGCATGACTATTGAGTCGGGAGCCTTGCCATTCGATGTGCACCAGGGATCGTAAACCCTAAGTTAGCTTGTCAAGGGCCTGAAAATCCAAATATGTACACGAAAATATGCGAAAAGTCGCCCCTCCGATCATGATCCTTGTTTTTACCACACGTTCAGAGTTTCGACCTCTTCCTTGTCTTCTCCGTCCCACTAGCCTGCCACCCAAACTCCAACTTCTGCCCCTTTCCCGCCTCCACCATCACATTGACCACACACACCCTCGCCTCTCTAAACCCCTCTCTTGTCGCCTTCTCCAATTCCTCCGGCGTCCTGACCAGATATCCGACACCGCCGCAAGCCTCCGCAATCTTCTCATAGCCGACCTCCCAGCCTAGAGATGTACTCCGGAGCCCACCTTCACTCTTCCCCTCCAGCGTCTTTCCCTGCAGCTCTAACCAGGCTTCGGCATCGTCGCTGTCACCGTGATAGACGCCGCCGTTATTGATGACGAAGATGAGGATGTCCATGCCGTAGCGGCCCATGGTTTCGACTTCCATCGCCGAGAAGCCGAATGCAGAATCTCCTTCTAGACACACCACCTTTTTCCTCCCCTGTGGCCCGCTCTGTCCTTCCGCTGCTGAGCCGTTATAGGCGGCGTGCGCCGCTATCGCATAACCTAGCCCCACGCCCATTGTAGCGTAGGTACCAGCGTCAAGACGTAGTCGTGGGTGAGAGACGGGGAAGATAGAGCGGGAAATGTCCATAGTATTTGCACCTTCCGAGACGTATACGATGCCTGCATCATTCGGTGGGGAGAGCGAGTGGAGGGTCTGTTCGATGATGGTGAAGGCGTGGGCGTAGGTCATTGGTGTTTTCGAGTTTGACGCTTTTGAGGCGGCGGTGGCTTCGTTCTTTGATTTTGCGGCGGAAAGATGCTGTATGAAGGGTGTGGAGGCTGGGTAGGACCAGCTGTCGAGCGCAGAGATGAGCTGGGATACCACGATATCGATGTCGCCAATGATGCCGAGTTCCGGATTCCCGGAGTTCCTCCCTATTTCTTCAGCTGAGATATCCACTTGTATAAATTGAGCAGCGGGGTTCCACTTGGGGGCGTCGCCGAAATGTAGAATCCAATTTAGGCGGGCTCCTAATACAAGTACCACATCTGCTTCTTTCAGTGCGGTACTTCGTGCACTGGCTGTATTGGCGGAATGGGAATCGGCAATGACGCCTTTACCCATTGGTGTAGGGAGGAAAGGAAGGTTCGTCTTGTTGATGAGATCTCTTGTCACGCCTTCTGCTCTTGCATACGCAGCACCCTTGCCAATAACCACCAATGGCGCTTTCGCCGACTTAATCAATTGAGCAATTTTGAATAACCTAGCTTCCTCAACACCACCCTTCGGTGCGTTAGGTATTGGTGCCGCTTCTGCCACATCTTCTGCATCCTCCACAACGCCTTTGATCAAATCTGCAGGTAGATCCACGAAGCCTGTGCCTGGTCGCCCATACCATGATATTCGATATGTGTTTTGTATGACATCTGGTATTGATTCGAGTGATGGAGGGCGCAGGGCCAGCTTAGTGTGAGGTGTGAGGAGGGAGATGGCATCGAGTTCTTGAAATGCTCCGCGGGAAACAAGGTTGGTTTCCGAGGAACCAGCGAGGAGGAGGAGAGGAAAAGCGTTTACATTTGCGTTGCCGATCTATGTACGTCTCATTAGTCCATGGGGGCTCTAGAAGAAGCAATGGTATATGAGTGAAAATGGGTGAAATGTATTTTCCTTGACAGCTACCAATGAGTACACATACACCAGCCATGCCATGTAACACGCCCGGCCCTCCTACCACAAGACATATACCTGGTCTCCCCGTCAAATATCCATAGGCGCTCGCTGCATAGCCTGCGGCCTGTTCGTTCCTAAAACCGATGAAACGGATCCCCAAATTGATAGCTTCCTCCGCTATCTCGACGACAGGTATGCCGACAATACCGAATATGACTGTGATGCCCAGGTCTCGCAGACTTCTGGCAATAATATGCGCACCTGTCGGAGGTGTCATGATATCGAGGGACAGGCGGATTGGAAGAGAAGGCCAGCTTGACGCTAATTTGATGATGTTCTGGACGGCAGTTGAGCGCTGGGTAGCAAGAGTGAAAGGGCAATTTAATGTGGGGCTTCTCTACGTCACTCTCAAAGAACATAGCCCACAATAAACGGCCAATTTGCTGCTCCAGCAAACTGCTTTGACAACGTTCTACGGACATATACCCGTCTTATACGCTGCACACTGCGCCTGTACATCTAAAAGTGCCAGATTTTCAGGAGTCTCATCCCAAAAATCTAGCCAACTCAAGCCCAATCCTTTCTCAAATGGACCCTCAAGCACCATCCCAGCCCTCAATCGACACAGCCTACGACAACCCTGACAATCCCGCTGACCAAACGGCTTCTGAAAGGAAAGATGCTACCTCCACAAGCGCATCCCAGCAACGCTCAGACCCCGCCTCTGAGCGCCGTGAACCCAATGACACAGTTGGCGACAGAGGGAGTGCGTCGCAGAACGAAGCCATGCCAAGCAGCTTAGGCTACGGAGCACAGGACTCTAGCGGTGATGCCGACGAAAGCGTGAGGGTCACATTTCAGGTCATGTTTTTGATCTTGAGCGACACATCTCTAATCACATGATGCGCACAGATGGGCGGCCCCGTATCCAATCAAGAAGGCGAGCAAATGCGCGCAGCTGGTGACGGTGACATAGCAGCCGCACAAGAGGGCAAGCACGGATTCGGCGAGCAGACTAGCCTTACATCTGACCTGGATCGCAAGAAGGCGGAGCAGGCGGAGATTAAGGATGAGAGAGATGGAGGAGGCGGTGGAGGAGGGGTAGATGTTCAAGGCGCGCTGGGCGGTGGAAACAAGGGGTTCGTTGGTGGTGGCGGCGAGACGGGCCAGGATAGTGAAAGAGGAGGCGGCATGCAAAGCGGCCATACTGATGTATGAGGCTTTTAATACCAGTGGTTGGGGAAAGTAATTTGGAGGAGTCGGATTATTGATAGCTGTCGTCCAGAATATGGGGCATTCGCGCTTCGATGTCGAGGATCATCTGGCCAAACATACCATTGGCCCAGCCGAACCTGCCACAGTCGTCAGTCTAGGGGTATTCCAAAACCAAGAGGGGCGATGAAGAGCTTACCATGACCGAGTATAGTCTTTAGCGTTGTGTGACTCAACACTCTCGTGTATAAGACCTGTATGTGATTAGCCTCAAGTGCCAGAATCGTACGCAGTTCCTAGCATCTCACCAAGACCGCCCGTAGTACCTCAAGATCGTTCTCAGTTCGTCCCTCTGTTCCTCCCCATTTATATCCCCACTAGTCAAGACGCGCACGATGCTAGCCAGAGGCCATGCTTTCGTAGGCCCCGTATGCGGTCCTCCAATTGCGTTGAAGACATTGCCAAACGCCCAGTATGGGTTGGCCTCACTAAGGGCGAACAGCCTTGTGTTCATGTAGACTTCGTCGCGCGGGCTAACGTAGCCCATCATGGATGCTGGAAGCAGACTTGGCAGGTTGGCATCGTCCATAGCATTCTGACACGGCATGTAAGCGTAGAGCATTTCTCTATTGGGATTGTGGGGAGACGAACCTGGCTACCATAACCATCGACCTCGAAAGCAAACATAGCACCAAAGAGTGGATGTGACACTACGCCGTATTTCGTGATTCCAGCGCGTATCTCCGAGGCCATGCTCTGCATTCTCGATTCTAGATCTCTACTTCTCTGCGTATCCATTCTTTGCATTATGAGACCAGCCTCTTCGAGGTACCGTGCGAACATCATATTGGAGGGTATTAGGTATTGGAAGATGGTTGCGTCTGTGGTTTCTGTCAGTCATCGGACTTCCTACTGCTGGTGAAACTCGGGCGAGTTACCATCTGAGGGGCGAAAGGTCGAGCGCACCATACCGGTGTAGATGACAGGGTTACCTATGCCATCGTTTGAAGTCGTCTCTGTAGCTCTATCCGTCTTGCCTTTCATGGTGTACCCGCTGGGTGCGATGTGCCCTGCGGAAGTCAGCCATGGGTAGGGACCGCCATGCCATGCTCGTCCTACCATCTGGTGTGTACGTCGCGGTTCGCATAGCTTCTGCAGCTGCCAGGATTACCTCAACTGTGTCCATCCACAGATACTTCTCGAATGGCCCGATATCCCCAGTCGCATTGTAGTAATCAGACGAAATTCTGTAAGAACGAAGCTAAGGAGTCAAGCTCCCATTTACAGTCGAACGTCTTTTTCTGATCATATCCCAGCTTCCCAAACATACGCACAGTATTCATTGTATATGCACCATTAAATTCAACATTGATGCCCGACTCTGGTGGTGGTTGGAAGGCATGGCAGTGAGGGGTGATTTTGATGTAACGAGACTGTACGTTGATCACGCCGCGAAACAGCGCGGCCAAGGAGTTGGGATCCTCAGATGCTTGGAGGACTGGTAGGTAGGAGAGGATCTGGTTCGCTGAGTCGCCTAACCACATTGCATTTCTAGGCGGGAGTCAGCGCCGGAGCGGGAATGGAAGGAAGGAAGCGCATACATATCGCCCGTGATAACAAAAGCCAGATCCTCGTCCGTCAGGCACCTTCCTGCTCGTCTTTCCATGCAAAGCCCTTCCACTTGACAGCAGTGTCGAGTGTATTCGGAAATGCATTCTCGAAAAGGCGAAACAGGTCTGGGTCGGCAATCTTAGGTCTTAAACGTTCAATTGCATCCTCGACTTCCTGCGAATAGAAGGTACGGCACTCATCTGAGGGCCTCTGGAAGGGCAATTGGTATCGCCCTTCAGATAGCTCTTTTCCATCACTCTGTCTCGCCCAATTTGCATATTGGGGACATGCCTTCTGCTTGAGGATTGAAACATGAAGTGAATGGACAGAGGTCAGAAGACCGGCGAAAAGAAGACATAGTAGTGGTAGAAGCAAGGTGGCTGAGTCATCAGCAATGCTGAACAGCATCTTGTTAGGGAAGCGTGTCGTATCTGCTTGGAATGCATGGCAAACGGTATTTGGTTCCAATAATAGCATGGAGCTAAAAAAATACAATACTCTAGCACCAACCCCGTCAAGCTAAAGACTTTTCTATGTTGTACTTTTATACTGTAGAAAACAGCTTTTCTTTGCAAGGTGCGTTACGGTTGAACATCACGTCCAGATTGTAATACTCCATCTTAAATGACAAGGTACAATGTGTTCAATTCTCAATTCTGATTGTCAAAGCGCATCTATCGACTGACTTTCTTGACATCAATATTCTCCTGGTTGGACAGTGTCTTCGCAACGAGCCAAGTATCATCCTTATGTCACAGCTTAATCACTAAGTGCTGTCTGTCCCATTAAGGATCTAAGCGAACGAGGAGGACATCAGCTTGCCTGATACGGCAACAGAGTCAGCCTGATCTCATTCCATCGTGCTCGAATGCCAACATGACTCCGCCGGCCGATGCTTTGTTGCTTCTGAACCAACCAAGTGTTGGAAACCCGATTCCGGCAGCCCATAACGATCCCTCTCGGATAGATGAGTCCGCGATCAGAACAGTATCAACATTACTGAATCTGGTAGCGTACATCAAAGCATGCTCAAAGCGTCGTATGATCCATGACTGGGCTGCCTTGACTTCCTCATTTACTGGCTCCTCACACAGCTGCATTGCAAATGTGATCCCATAAAAGAAGCAGCACTCTAAAAGCAATCGAGTCATTATTGCTGATGCCGAATCATAAAGTTCTTCCTCTGACGGCACTGGTATCAGAATTCCAAACCCTGCTGATTGATTTATATACTGATACAATGTTACAGTGTCTGTCACTTGCAGCCGTTTTCCTATGCGATATATCAGGAGTCGCAGGATTTTTGTCATCAGCTTTTGAAGGGTTCGCGGCTCCCGTTGGAAGAATTTGAGTCGGTACTCCACTCTTGCGGACATATCTGCCGGCTCCTTCATCTTGCCACCTAGAACTGTTGCTGCCCTCCATGACATTCTGGCAAAGCACAACACCATTGCCTTGGCCGACTCTTCGTTCATAGAAGGTATTGCCATATGCGAAAATTTGTATAGACTCTGCGCTTCTTGTTCCATGTGACGCTTTACGGCATTCAAGAAGTAGAGATATCGCCATCCGCCATATCGTTCCAGTAGGTGCAAAAACACCTTGGCAGCTTCATCATCACTGGGCGCTACCTCCGTAATTCGCCAATCGAAAGTGAATACGACATCTTTGAGACACTGGATCTGCTCGGAGGTCCGATTGTTACCCAGTATTGGCCCATCGAATCCGGGCATGTCTCCAAACCATCCGGAGAACTCTGAGAATTGGCAAATCTGCATCCGCTTGAAAAGCCACATTTTATGATTTTGGAATATTTCATTCATGGAATTGTCGGTCTGGATCAGATTCGCAAGGTCGCCGCTCCTGGTATGACACATCACGAGCACGATGATCTCGGTGGGCAATACCCGGAAAATGGCGAATCTTCGTTTCCGGCCCTTCATTCTATATCTCTGAATCCTTCGATGAAACATTACCAAATCGTTCTTCCTCTTGTATTGTTTTCTCGCTCGGGACATGGCAGAGTGTCGGGGTACTGGTGGAGCTTCCCGGTAGGTAGGCAGGTCGTGGAAGAGAGCCGTCATGTCGAAACGCGTTGCGCCGGACGTTTCCATTGTCGTGCGAGCAAATCGAGTGGTATGCCAGAGGTCAGTGCACTTGAAAAACACTCAATTCAGTTATTCAGGAAATATTTGATACTAAAGATTCTCAAGAGCCTGGAGGTATGATAGTGTGATGAATGGTTACAGGATCTTTGCGGACTCCTGAAATAAGTAAAAGGCTCACGGGAAATGCCAATATATTTTGCTCATAATTTCCAGCATTTCTGCCTAAGCCTTTATATTGCAATTCTCGGGCGGGGTAAATATTGCCGAACATCGAGAATATCTTGGCTTTCCGTTCAGTACTATCAGACTGGGATCTTGTTCATTGTGTAGACAGGCTCATCAAACAAGCAGCATTCGAGAAATCATGAAATCTCCAGACCTCGCCAGGACCCGTCGCCAGAAAAGTGCTCACGATTTTGTCGTTCTCCAGGCCAACTATCGTGCCTACCGCCAGGGACCCACTTAAGCCAGACTGGCAACGCGAGAAAGAAGTTGTTATCTCTGATGAGCGGCTTAACCTTTCATTCAACGATGAAGTCGACACCCATTGAAACGTACATTCCCAGAACTAAGCTACGGGCGTCTTCAACCACATGTTTCTTCACCATCACGAGTCCAACACATTCCTGGAACAACACGTCGAATTCACGGACTTAGGGGCAGCTAGTGCCTAGGACATTCTCTTGATACACACATGCCTTCCTGCCCAGCCAGGTACCTAGCGGGCCGGAGGACAGCTTCACTAGTATCTATATGAGTAAGGTACTGGTTCCAATACTACCGTTCCCCACCCAGATTCACTTAATATTTATGCTCATGGGGTATATCAGGAGGCGGGAACGGGGTGAAGCTTTATAGTTGAGTGGTATCACTGTTTAGGCTGTGAAGCGGACAGAGAGGGAAGAGGATGGAGGGAACGCGGGGAGAGCGAGAAAGCGGAAGATTGAAGGGTGGATTCATACAAAGTCGAGGATCTTTGTTCCATAGACCGTACAACGTCTCTCCGAATCTTCAAAAGATGACGGTCGTGGACTGGATAGTGGATTGGATGGAGCGTCCCTAGCAGATCATGGCTCGCAGTGAGGCCTAGTGAGTTGGTCACGGCGCTCAACGGTCCCTGCTGACAGAATCTCAGACCCGTCAGATTACGAATTCGTGCCGTCAAGGACGCAGTTGCAGAAAGCGATCTGGTGAATAATGTCGAAGATCGTAGAGGCACTTGATCTTCTAAGTTAGCATTGCTGTGCAGCTGGACAAAGTCTTCCACCATCTGCTGGCTGCCGCGTGGCACCGACGATGAAGCCGAAACAACTTGTGAAGCAGTATTGGATGTTCTCTGACTGGCTTCAGTAGGTGATATCCTTTATTCACTCCAGTCCGCGTCCAAGGTGGCTTCACTCGTGCATCATTTAATTTCTGTTGCTGTGAATTGCTTTGTTGCCCACGATTTGCGTCTGACCGGATCCGGAGATGAGACCTGTACTTGCATTTCTCACCTTTGCCTCACTTTGTGAATCCCAAAGCCTTTCATTATGTGAATCCTTGACCGGCCGGATACGGGCCATCTCCTAGCTCATTCATCAAAGCTTGCGTTTTACGCGCTCTTTGTGAATACATAAATTTCTGCGAGCAATTGTTATCCATCTTCAATTACTTTCGCGCAATCCGACTGGCAAGCTTTCACGTCTTAGACATCTTGCTTGGACTCACCGTCCAGCACAGCCATACGCTACAGGGCTGTTCTATCGTCCAACCTTCTCCACTAAAATTGTCGAACATGGCAACAGACGCGGAGGACGATGAATCGGACATCGGCGAGATTATTGGCGGAGAAGAACCAGAAATGCAGTTTACAGATGGAGATGGGCTCAGGAGGCTACCTTCTAATGAGGCACCACTATTGGTTGGAGAATGGGAAGGAGACGGAGGAGGAGGAGAAGAAGAAGAAGAAGAAGAAGAAGAAGAAGATAGCGAAGCCGGATTAAGTGAAGGAGAAAAGAGAAGAAGAAAACGCAACGGTACGGATCCTCTCGACCTCGACTCCAATAGATCAGTGCTCCTCTCCGAATGCGATGAGACACATAAGCCGGACCCAGGATCGTGTAACGTCCCGTGCAACAACAGCTACAAGATAGACTGCCATTGCGAGTGCGAAACTTGCATGTTCAAACACCTCAACGACAACCCACCCAATCACAGGAAATTCAAAAAGCTGCTCCGTCGCAACTTTCGAAGTGCGGGGAGTAACGCCTTGACGGATCCCCTTCGACGCAATTTTCGAGCGCGAAGGCCTTATGATTATACTCAGGATAGCGCAACGCAGCCTTGCACGGAGATGATCCCTTGGGGCGTCAACATCCGCAAATGGAACAAGCCTTGTCCGAACAAACGTCGGCGCGAACGGGGCCGGTACGACGGTAAAGTTCTACCCTGCGACGAGGTATTCTGTGACGGAGATCTGAATGCGCTGAGTGAAAGGTGTGAGAGAAGGCACGGGAGCGGGCTCCCCGATGCTCTGTGGGACCAAGTCAAATTCCCGGCAGACGACGGACCCGTAAGACCCTACGTGTGCGAGAGCCACATCCAAGACACCAAAGACTACTTCCACATGGGTGCACACGCGGACAACCTCTACAAATCCCATCTGGTCCGGTTCTGCAAAGTACACGAAGCGGAGCTCCTGGCGAAACGTCCGGAGTCCACCTGCACCTGCCGCAACGTCGATTTCAACAGGTGGCAATGCCGTTCCTGCTTTCAAGAAAAGGTGGAGAAGCTCCAACGACACTTCAGACGCAGGGTGAACCCTCGCTGGCGCGGGTGTGCGGACACGAGCATCACCAATGGCAAGTTCTACCAGCGAGATTGGAAAGGGGTCCGGAGGATGTTGCAGCGGGAACACCCTTGCTTGAAAGGGCATTGCGGACGGCCTCGCCTCAAAGGCCTCGTTCGGAATGAAGTGCTGGATTGTCGGTGTTGCGGAGGTCATATTGTGCAGCCGTTACGGAGGTCGACGCGGCTGGCGGGGCGGCGGGGCGTGGCATATGCTGAGGAAGACATGCGGGAAAATTCAGCAGAGGGCTCAGGCGCCGAGGATTGAGTGGGAGAACACTCTCGCCTTGATCTAGTGATGATTGATTTGATGCCTTTCATAGAGTGATAAAATGAGTGTCAGGCGTGCCAATCTTGCACCTTTGCTATTTTCATAAATCTTCACATTCTTGCCCCAGACTCTGGCTGTGAGCATCGTGAGGTTTCGTGACCCTTTTCTCATCATCCAGCAGGGCAGAAACACTGATCTCTTTGGCAACGCTAAGCTCTTGAAAACGCGAGTATTTTGAGGATGCCCCAGTGCACCAGGTGCACAAAATTTGGTTCGATCCCCTAATCGAACAGCTCCCGGTATCATTTCTGCTTTCGAACCACGCCAGCTTGAGCAGCGCCTCTCAACCTAGTCAAGTACCTCACATTCCCATTCTGCGGTCTCAATTCAGCAAAGTCGACCGGCAAGCCTAAGTTCGAAATCATGCGCTTCTGCAAATCTGAGAGCCCGGTATTGGTATAACATATTTTTCTTCGTTCCAACGTTTAGGTACATAAGATCCTCCTGATGCGTACAAGAAGGAGACATAGCGCCTCACAACTACAATGAACTAAGCATCTCGACAAATTGCTTTCTATGGTCGAGAAGGAGGGGAGATGATGGAGAGGATCATGAGTGCTTCATTCCAACTCACCTTCTGCACCTTTGAAACAAACAAATGCTAAAACTTGTTCTCGTACAGGCGATTCCACAGGGTGTGGTGTTCACTACTATGAAAGAACCTGGGGTATGACTTGGTAATTTGCCCAATTTTCTGCCCTACAATTTAGGACTCAATGACCGTCTAGCTAAAGACCCAACCCTGGACCCAGGCCCAAGATAGGATTTGGAAGGAGCAGAGGCGGACTTCGGTATTGATGGCCGCAAGCTCACACTGCTAGTTTTGCGAGTTTCAGTTCTAGGTGTCGCTCGAGCTAGCTCTTTGAGACTAGCCTTGTGCTCACCTCGGAGCACCCAATTTCCAGGCGAAACCTGTTCATAAGGGTCAGACCTCATCCACGTCGCCCATCTCATAGCTACCTCCTTTGCGCGATTTATATCTACGTTGAACCATTCGATATGCTGTTTCTGTGCTCCATTTGCGTTTATCTCGTTGCAGAGGCACTTCAGCTCTCTGACTCTGCAATCCCTGAGTTCCGCGTGGATCAGTGCTTCGACACGACGCACGTAGGGGATCTGTTGTTGCTCCTCTGGGGCTTTCGGAAATATGAGGTACGGGGTGTGTTTGCACGACTTTTGCCACTCTGCGAGCCGAGTTTCGACTTTTCGAGACGTGTAGCCGATTTTGACGAAGCCAAAGCTGCCTTGAATAGAGTACATGTAGATTAGACCAGAAGGCTCAAGGCCCCTTGTGTACCGAGGAAGGGAAGGAAGAGGATACAAGAGCGCATTTTCTATGAATCGGGTCGCGTATGAGGTGCTCGATTGACATAGATCGTAGGGAGCGAGCTTGCGTAGAGGTGACCGTTCGTCCAGCGACATGAACGTCGAGACGATGGGCTGCAACAACAGGTCTTCGCTTGAGGCATCTGTACCCCTGCCCCGCAATGGTATTGTGATTTTCTCGAGGTTGAATATGGGAGACAGACTCGTGGTGTGCTCTTTGTCATTTTTTGGCTTCACTGGAGCTTGTACATCTTGAAGGCCGGTGTCCTTCACCCCTTCTATCGATGCGCCGTGGCTAGGGATAGCAGTGAATGAATCCTCTTTGACTCCCAGTTCAATTGAGGACCTTGTCTTAGTGTAGCTGCGTTGAATTTCACCAACTTGCGAACTGAGATCACGAAGGCTGGATCTTACATCCTTAATGAAGAGTTTAAGGTCAAATAAACGATCCAGCATCGCGTGGGCTTCTGTGCGAGATAACTCCAGGTCGAAAGGATCCAAGATTTCGGCATCGGTCCATTTGTTCATCAAGTTTGATACTTGGGACGCGTCTTTCCAACTATACCCATCCATGAAAGATCGAAGCTTGCGTTTCTTGGTAGGAGTGATCTGATTACCGCTGTCAGGTCTACAACCTACCTGGTGAGAGTGTGTGATCTTGGTATCGTCCTTTGGACTCTTTTCAGCAGTCGGGAGAAGCAAATTGGTGCTGTCAGTGCTGCCTTCAGGGCTCCCCGTTTGTAGGCTGCTCTCTTCCTGGCGGCAGCATGTAGCGATATTCTCTCTATTCACAGTCTTTCTGCCAGCAAGATCGAATGGCTGGGTGTTGAATTTTGACCGTCTGGAGAAATCTTGATTCGTGTGCTCATCATTACCACGAACTGGAGATGTGTGCAGATTAGAGGAACATTTGGGCAGAATGTAGGACGTTGTGCCATCTGAACCGCCATGCTTGAAAGCGCCGGATATCTGTGTTGTAGCCAAATCATACGGAGGTGGCTCACTAGGCGCACGAGAAGGGCGAGATGGTGGAGGTTCGGTATGGGTGCTATTTAGGGCGCCTTCAGCGGAGGGTTCCTTCAATGGGAAGCTGCTGACTGATCCTCGATCTTCGGCGTCGTCTTCCCACAGTAAGAAGTTGCAGCGTGCTTCTACTTTTGGGCATTCGTAATATGGTTTTCCGAGACTCTCCTCTTCGTTTCTGGTCACAAAACGCCAGGAACGCCTAGCCGGCAGACGCGGATCACACTGACAATATATTGCGCTAACTGACCCATAGATTTCATCTTTCCTATACGAATGGCTGTTGATCGGCTTCTTATACTGGTTTGAAGTGGGTGTGAGAGCCTCAGCGTCAGCAGAATCAGCTATTGTCACTGATGCGATATTTTCACTAGCCTGGGGAGCCTTTGAGACGAGTGGCTTGCGTCTCAGAGATAGAGTCGCACCAAATTGAGCAGGCGGTTGAGGCTCTTGTGTTGGTTGATCCAGAAAGACATCATCGTAGCGTTTCGCATGACTGCTCTTCAGAAAGAGAAAATCGTTGATCAAAATTGTTTCATTCCTGATTCCGGCTTCTTTCTCGGGGTTCGCTCTCTCTCCTAGTAGCCTAGAAATGCTAGCAAAAGGAGGTATTTGACTGGCACTCGAGCTGGGATAGTATTCATGAAAGGATGCGACGGGGCGTTGCTCCACGTACGGGAGAAATAGCGGCCTCGTAGGAGCTGCCATGGCGCAGAGATACTTGAAACCACGAATGCAGGTATGATATATGAAGGTGAATAGGCCGGAGGGTTGAGAAAGGGGAAATGGTCATACTTATAGTGTGTGTGAGACTGATTAACCTTGATGACGAATCGAGCCATCCATCGACAAAGCCTGTCTTTCCCTGACCAATGAACAATTTTTGAAGCATCCATTGCAGCCTTGTGGGTCTAAGAATGCGAAAGCTCATTCGATGCTGCTTTTGCACGGCCAGGCTGAAACCGCCCCCAAATCCTGACAGCTCTACACACCAGGAGCACTCTTTTTCTCTACATTGCATCGCTCTTTCCCTCGTTCTTCTGATTATACCAACGATGGATATGGAAGGCTTCTGAAAGAAAGACGTTGGCCATAAATCATTGAATAACCACGACGGGGTCGAAAATGCAATGAAGATACAGCAGAACCCCAAAGAATGTATGTTGAAATGAGCTCTATAAGGCTGCAAAGAAACGCCACGTCTTAGCGCTGAGCTTCGGCTCACAGACACCTGCATCAGCGGAACATTTGAGGGTAGTGTACAGCCTACCATATCCTCGGCCCTAGGCTAACATCCAATGGGGCGTTGCCCGGTGAATATCTTGCTTCCACATGATTGAATCAGACCTGACGGATCCGATACCCGATAGACAGGCTTTGACAAGGACTAACATGTCGAGCTGTATCAGCGTAAAAGAACAAAGTCCTCCAGGTCGAACGAAGCGGTAAGTTCGGCGTCCCATGGTCCACTCCGGTGGTCGCACATTGTACGAATCGATAAGACTAGGAGATGCATTCAACCTCAGTCCCAGCACTCCCAGCACTCACCGCAGCCCCCATCGAGCGCCCTTTTCTCCTGTTTGTCGAGGGCCCTTCTACTCCGTACCCTGCGAACCTACAGACGCGCTCCCGATACGTCGGCGGTTCTGCGCTATAAGTTGTGGCCTGATTTCTCTTAATCGCATCCCTAAAAAGCTCGGGCAGTGCTCGCTCCGCTCATGTCCAAGCCACAATCCGTCAGTCTGACAAGACTTGCTGGTAATTTTGTCAATTATGTGCTGTCTCTCAGGCTACAGTGGCGGACAAAAAAAGATATTGTGACTGCCTAAATTTAGCGTATTCAAAATCCATGATATTAGCGTATACACAAGGGTCCAGAATCCTTGGCGGTGAGAAAATCGCCACCATGAATAGTAGTGAAGAGCTTTATTTCTCCCTTGCAACCTTTTCATCCTTATGTATTTCGCTTAGCGATATCTTAATAGGTTTTTCTTCACCCATAATACCTATAAGCCTCCTCTACTTTATTCGCTCCGGTGAATCGTATACTATCTACGTCGATTGAGAGGTTGATGGAATCATTGAGAAGAAACATCAAGGAATAGCTAAGCGAGAGGTATAGAGACTTTACTTTTTACGAAGGTAAAAATGGAATTACGATATTGAAGAAGATGAAGCTATTTACTACTCTTATTGAAAGTGGGTGTGCGATTTTCTTAACGCCAAGGATTCTGGACATTTGTGCATACGCTAATAATGCTTGGCACTGAATTAATTGGAAAGCTAGCTTTCTTTCTATCGACAATTTTGAAAAAGTACTACCAAGATCTAAATCGAGAAAGTCTTATCTATTCGGGAAGTAACTAAATTTCTTAGCTACGAATATCAAATTTTATTAATAATCTTAACTTTATCTCCGTCTCTCCATTTCTTCTCTTAAAGAATTCTATCTCTATAAATTATATCTTAATTAACTCTTTTTAATTATAATATCTCTTCTTCTACTATTATATATACTATGAATCGTTATTAAAAAAAGCGTTAATAATAGAAAAATAAGTATATTCTCTTTTAATTACGCTCTTAAAATTAGCTATAATTCTAGAGAAATTAATAAAATTTATAGTAACGTCGAGATCCCATACTCTATAATATAATAATACGCTATTAATCTTAGTCTATAATATCTTATAGATCTTTTTAATATATATTCGAAGACTTTAATAAATCGTCTACTATACTTCTCTCTAATTCTTCTTATTAATATAATAATTTTAAATTTCGCTATTAAGATTCTATATAACGTTTAATCTTTAATATATAAGATTTATATCGAGATTACAGTCTTCTTACTTAAAAAGACTACGAGAATTCTTATTATAAGATATCTTAGAGATACTTATAGAGCTACTAGCGTAGGCTTAGCACCGCATATATCTATCTATAGACTATATAGATAATTAGTATCTTTTATATCATATATATATATGAGTTAAATTATAATAATTCCTTAATAATTCTATTTATATTCAATAAAAATAGTGAGATAAAGAGCTTCGAGATACGATAGAATAGCTAGAAGATACTCGGATTCTCTATAAATATAATACGATTCTAAAGCTATATAACGATATTATCGATATCGTTACTACGAGTAAAGATAAGGATGACGAGGATAAGGACGATGAGAATAAGGACGATGAGGATAAGGACGACGAGGACGACGACGGGATACGTCACGAGTAGTTACTTAACGCTCTCGAGGATATATACTTTTAGATATAGAGCGAGTCTCGCTTAACCTTCTTAGAACGATTAGCATTTAATCATAACACATATATCTACTCGACGATATCTACTATAATTCAATACGGTGATTATAAAGCTATAGAGAATCTTATATATTTCGAGATTAATCGGCGATATAATTTATTTCTTAGATATCGCTATAGGGAGAATTCGGAGAATTAATTAAATATAGTATCGTAAATATATTTAATTGTAGCGATGTTCTTAGTGTTTCTATAATGCTTGGCTAGCTTTTCACTACTGGGTAGCCCGCGCCCCAGCACATATTTTTCCCCCCGAGGGTCGGGGACAAAAGTCTCTGCCGACTTTTGATGGGGGCTGCGGGAGAAAGTCGGCAGAGACTTTTGTCCCCGACCCTCGCCCCTCCCCTGATCCAAATTATCAACTTCACAACTGTGATTCCGGTTGTAAAGGTTTTTAAATATGAATAAGACTCCTTGTCTCTGTGAGTTCAGCGCTGCCAATATACTATAGATCGATGCATATATCAGGTTTTGGTACGAGGCGAATCACGTCGTCTGAGGGTAAATTCTCTGATTATTCAACCTCCAGATTCTACCAAAATAGTAATCCAAGAAAACCAATCTTTCATACAACGTATACAGATCTCTACCAGATGCTCTTGCGATTTCAATGCCGCCAGTATTCTCACGATCCGACTTCCAGCTGTGAAATTGATGATTTGAGGGGAAAAGAACTCAGTGCCAAGCATTGCCATGGAATTTGTATACGCTAAACCCTCTAACACCTTGCTGATTCAAGAAGTCTGCTCAATAGCAGTATTATGACACATGATACACCGCTTCCTTTGCGGCCAAAACATTCACAGCAAAGGAATTCCTATCGGTCAAGCAACATACGGTTCAGCAGTGTCACGGTCCCAGCCTACCTTACCTACAATACACACGACCCAATTGGGCCTAGATAAACTTACTTTGTATCACGCACGAACCTGTATCCATCGAGATAGAACGATGTCTATTCTTGGTTAGAGGAGTCTCGGCTGGAAGATTGTTGCGCTTCTTACAATCTAACATGTCAACAGCTCCGAAACCAGAACCCTCGACTAGTGCATATATACCAGTGTCAAACGATTGGATGCCAACCCAAGATGCAGTGTCTAGTCCTCATCCTCTACTGCTGCATTCCTGGGCGATTTGCCGTTGCCTAGCTCGGTGGTTCAACGTCCAACCAGTCCCGCTCCTCGCTCGTGGTGCTTTCAGACTCCAAAGCTTCTTCCACCTCCCGGACAAGGATGATATCGCAAGTCGGGTATGGCGCTTCCTCCAAGGGCCCAACACCATTTAGACGCCTTGTTACAGAAAGTGAGATTAGGGCTTTGGAGTACAGCATCGATCACTTACCATCCTTGCCACTCGCTGCTTTTGTTCAATAGGCCCAGCAGAAATGCTTGCCTCTGTGCGTCTAGACTCAGTATTGAAGCTGACGTGCGAGGTCTAGGATCCGAGAGCGATACTCCTCCTGTATGGGCGCCCGTTCGCGCCAGAGAGCATAGCGTTCTAGGGATATGTTAGTTACCGTAGGGGTAGAGATCCTGCTGGCCCGTAGATTACCTGGCTGTCGATCTCGGCAAGCGTTGACGCATCTGCATAGCTGTAGGAGTCTGGTGTCCATTGCTTATGTAAGGTTTGGGAGTGTGAGCCAAGTGGATCTGAATGATGTACTCACAATATGAGCAGATCACTAGCTATAAGGCCTGATTACCATTTGAGAGACAGTGGCTTGCCTTTTTGACCGGAGCCTGTACAATGTGGATGCATATCGCAAGAGCTCCTGATCCCTTGGCTTATGGTGAAGGATTTAGGCGAGCCTAACAATTTCATTGCATACATGGAAGACACATTTTTACAAAACGATGCTTCCACCGTGAGGAAAGTTCAATGCCTTTGTCAGACCTGAGTGGTTTTGAGGGGAAGTCTTGCGCAATCTTGGCATATCCTTCATTTCTGTACGATCCTTGATACCGTAGAGACATTAAAGGTCGACCGAAGTGATTCAAAGTGATTGAAGCGGGAAACACAATGAAGCAAAGTAGTGTTTGCCAAGTCGATTTACTCTTCATTTCTTGCGGTAGTAGAAATGACATAACCTTAGTCTGTGTGCCCTTCATTTTAGCAGTAGTGGAAATAACAACAAAATACTTGACACGGCAAAGACAGAGAGATCCAGCTATAGTAGTGAATCAAGACTGATAAAGAAGGGGCGGGGAACGCAATGAAGGAGGGTTGGTGACAAAAGTCGTTGCACACCGATCCCCGCTAAGCCCTACCAAAGTGTGCAACGACTTTTGTCACCAACCCTCTGAAGCAAAGGAGTATTTGTGCCAAGCACCTAGCTCGGCGTTTATTTTGTTCGATTCACGTAACCCTGACAACTGTGATTCGTTCGGCTAAGTTGTCCCATGATATTCTGTAATCTTAGCGGTCGTATTCGTATAGATGATTGGCTGGGGCAATTCACCACGCCAATTCTGTGTCAAAGACAGCTTCAGAGACTCCTATATAATAAGTCATTCTTTTCCGTTCCGATGCTTACTTCTCGTAGACTGTTACCATGGTACCCCCGGGGAGAATCTGAATTGTGCTGCAGTAGGTCAGCATCAGGACATTCTCACGGCCTCACTGGAAGATATAAACCTGCTATCGAATGTGTTGTGCCATCATCTGCTCCCCCGGCCGTTGAACCCACCTCCTCTTCATGCTTTCTTTTGTTTCGTGCCTTCCTTCAGGCCGTATTCTATATAATTGCACCACCGTACAAAGGTTTCAATATACTTCTTAAGCTGTCATAACGCTTTCTCAGCACTTGACATCCACATTCTTACATATATATACCCACACCCTCCACGTCCCAACGGCTACAAAGTACACTCACACCTCCTTTTGATTCCCCTGACCAACTGAGGCCAGCGGAACACAGAATGCCATTGGATCCATGATGTTTCTAAGGGTAAGTGGACCAAACGTGCCGGAACAGCCAGCGAGGCAACCCAGGCATTCTGCGCAGTTTGGGTTTGGAGAGCAACCCTCGGCTTCTGCGTCCTAGTTAAGGGAGGCTGAGAGTGTTGAAGCTGAGGTTGTACAGGACGGGGACGAGGGCACATTGTGGGTTGCCTAGATAGGTCTCCCTGATGGGGAGATTTCCAACGAACACTGGTCCAGTGACAAGTGGGAGGCTGGTATGGAAAAAAGCGGGGGAGACAGTTCTGATTATGAACACGGATCCGACTCCATTTCCGCAGGTAATCACAGAAAGCCCCCAAGCATACACTCTGCTGCATGAATTCTTAAGTATTATCAGGCTAATACTTACCACGACCTATCAGGCCGTCTTCCGCAGACACCTGATCCCCACCTCATTTCACCGGCCTCTCCATCACCCACCTCAGGCTTCAGCGTCTACCCATCGGGACAGTTATATCTCCTGACTCTCCAACATGGCACCATGCAAGTTGAAAATCCTACCCAGACGCCAACAATGCCTGCCCCAAGCCACCCAGTGCCAATACCATGGCATCCAAATGCAGAGACCATTCCTGGCATGACACCGGGTTGGACGAGGTGCAACACCGATCATCGTAGAAAAGTATCTACAATGAAGGCCAATACGGCAAGATTGGTAGGCCGGATAAGTCGTCAATGTATGAGAACGAGGTGTGATAAACATCGCGAGTCGCGGGTTAGTACTATACTCAAGTTCTCATGGAGCAAGCTAAATGTGTTTAGAAACGGACCATCAGCTGCGCGTGGCCTATGTCAAATGAAGGAGGAATCCGAATTCTGCTCAACGAGTGTGTTGTGAAAGTGACTCCTCAAGGCTTCACTTCGATCGTTGCCGTTCTCAGCGCTAGCGCCCATGCTCCGGGCAAAACATCTTCCACAGTCTCACTTCCATCACCAACAGTCTACACATCGATCATCAAAACTCAACGACAAAACCAACGGTAGACTCACGAATGGACGTGGGGTCATCCTCAAGTGGTACTGCTCCGGCTAAAAAGGCATCCAAAGGATCCAAGATCAAGACCACTAAAGCTAAACCCAATGGGATAGCAAAAGCCAAACGAACAAAGCCCACGAAGGCGCGAGACAACACAGCGAGCCAGTACGATATTGATGTGGCTATGTCTTCCTCGTCTGCTGCAGCTCAGGACGATGCCACCGAAGCCATGGACTACACGCCCGCTGATGATGTCTGAGATTGGAAAGCTAGGAGGGATATCTTGAGATTTTTTTTGTTATCTGGTATAGAGGAATATTATGGGGCTGCTGTCTCCATGTGACGGCACATTTGGATAATTTTGCAAGCAAATCTACTAGAAATGAAAAGAAATCTCCACAGCTTTTTCATTCCCTACACGAACCGAGTCTATGTAAGCCATATGCTTCCGGCAGTATCTATCATGTTCACGAGATGTTCTTCTTAAAAACAATCAACCTCACTTCCGCCTCCTGCAAATGCCATCTTACTAGTCACCTTCTTTAGCAATCATAACAACAACAAAAAAACCCTTAGGCTGACCTTGTTCCAATCTATTCTTCTTCCATATTGTCGATGTGCACAATGATTCTTACCAACAACATTACGAACCTATTGCCTATTGTTCCCTCCATCATGGCAACGATCGCTATCACGGGTACGCATTCATTCATGCTCTTCCTGCATCTCTCATCTCTCCGCAACATCAAATCGATACTCACCAAGCGAGTTGACGCTTGCCTCAACGGTGTGGTGTGTACTTGCTTTGTGCCATGCTCAGACGGCAACCTCTGCGACCTATCTATGCATGATGGTGTTGTATGCTGAATGAAAGGTCATCGATCGGCTGCTGCATTGAAACCGATGAGGCCGAGAGAGACTCCGAGACTCGGCTCCCGTAGCATCCCTCGTACCGTTCGTGTAGATTGCCGTAGGAGCGCTTTACACTAAATCCTGGCTTGCTTTCGCCCAGACAGGGCTGGCAACGGTGGAAATAGTTGGTTTTGGAGGGCAAACTGCACCAACTACTAGATTTGGAAATCGAAACTGCACCAACTATGATATATTGAAAACCAACTACCCCACTATCAGTGCAACTGATAGTGGAGCAGTTGTAATGAAAGATAAAATATCGCTCGGGGGGAGGGGGGTGAATAGACCGACATACGAAGCGTTAAGCCCTAAGGTCTCAGCCCTATTTCAGCCCTAGAGTATTTCAGCCCTATAAATGTTGACTTTTTAAAAAAATTATATCAACTACTCCACTATCAGTTGAACCAGTTGGTTTCAAGGTCAGAACTACACCAACTACCAACCGGTAGACCTCAAACTACACCATCAACTACGAGAAACTAACGGTTCCACTGGTAGTGGACCAGTCAGTTGGTCCACCATTGCCAGCCCCGCGCCCAGAAACGTACCACTTCGGTTACAAGTCGGCATAGTAGAGACAGTGTTACGCAAAACTTGGATCCAGCATTGTCCGGATGTGTCGCGGCCCCTTGCCGTTTTTTGTGGTCGAGTGTCGAGTATCTCGAGAGCCGAGCAGGCCCGGCCCAGGCTATGGCGACGACGTTGACATTAGCGTGGGACTTATGTGGGGTGGACTTTGATCATGCCTCTCCCCCCCCCCTTCCTAGTAAACCGAAAGATGCATACATTTCTTGCAGGCCTCTCCCTCCCTTCGTAGTAAACGGAAAGATGCATACATGTCTTGCAGGCTCGGAGTCCTTCTCCTCGCAGGGGGATGCTCTGCACAGAAAAGTGTAAAGCTGCAACGAGAGCGACGTGATGTCACCAGGTATGTTAATCCTTCATCGGATCATCTAAGATGTGGTGTCTGTATTATAAAGGGCAAGGCAAGCTCTCTATGTACTGCCCTCTGGTCAAGATTCAGAATTGCCATCCACCCCAATTGCCAGGATGGTAGCCGTCAACCTCACTCAATTCTTGTCCACACTCATTACAGCAAACCACATCCTTGATTACAATCAAATCGTCGACGGTCTCGGTCACGTCTCCGTCCGCAACCCAAACAACAATGCCACGTTCTTCATGACCGGCGACCCACCTCCAGCCCTTGTCCAAAGCCTGGCAGATCTCAACGAATACTACATCAGTGATGGCTCTGCAGTCACACCGTCCGCCGATCATGCCGCCCAAAGTCCTTACTCTGAACGTTTCATCCACCAGGGCATCCTGAAACGCTACCCCAGTCAGATCAGCGTGGTCCACAGCCATGACCTTAAAGTCATTCCTTTCGGCATAAGTGAGGTTCCTTTCAAGCCTACCTACCACATGGCTGGTTTCGTTGGTGAAGAAGTTCCCGTCTTTGATATCGCCAATTACTACCTTCCAAACGATACGCAGAACATGCTCATCAGCAGCACCCGTTTCGGCGACGCGCTCGCTGACACGTTTTCCACCCTCGCGAACAATGTAACCAAGAATAACACGGAGCCTGATTACACTCTCGTCCTTCAGCGTGGCCACGGATTCGCGACTGTGGGTACGAGCATTGAAGAATCTGTCTACCGTGCCGTATACACAGCCTGGAATGCCGAGACGCAGGCTTCGGCCTTGGAGATCCAGAATGCGTATGGAGCGAGCGCAGAGACATTGAAGTATTTGACACCGAGAGAAGCGGCGGATTGTGTTCCGATGAATCAAGGGAGTTATACAAAAGCTTGGCCATTGTGGCAGGCGCAGGTGGAGGCGGATCCGTTGTATAAAAATGATCTTATATAGTAGTATTTCTGTGAGGCTTAGGAGGATATTCTAGGAATCCTGACCGAATTACAAGACAGGCGAGCCCATTCCGTCCATCCTTGGCCGTTCTAAACGTCGTGATTGAGCAGCAAAAGTCGAACTTTTCAAATTGGAATGAGATGAGGAGGCAAAAAATGGACATCGCTAGCATTTACAGATAGCTGACAGGCCTTAGCGGACCAAGTTGCAGCCCATCCTACATTTTAGGTTTCTCCGCAATTGAAATTCTTGACACCTATCTCCCTACTAATTCTTAGACTTTCGAATACAACGAGAACAAAATTCACAGGCAACTAGGAGACCCTCGAGCCAGCACGTCCCATTCTTCATCCGCCACTGACACCGGCACCGGCTCCTTCTCTCGCGTGATGATGACATTTGTGATGTGATCATCCGGATACCCATTCTGACTGACGGCATGCAGCTTCCTAACAGTTGGTGTTAGTTCTCCTGAATCCCACTCATCCAGAAAAGCCTTTTGCATTGCCATACCATCCCTCCCATCGCCCCCCTGTACCTAACATCTTCGCGAGGAACGCATGTCTTCTCGGGCCCAGGTCCAGGAAATCGTCGGGTGTGTTGGGGATGGGGGCTGTGGAAAGCGGAATACCAGCTTCGGCCGCGCTCGTGATGTGCCATTTTCTATCTTCTGTCGTGAGTCTTTAGCAAGCGTAAGTTGCTGATGCTTCTAGGAAGGCAAGGCATACGGGCATTCGAGCAGTCGCAGTTCGCGCCTTGGTAGTGGAATTGCAGCAGTCGGTATTCCATCCTTGCCATTTCAGATATTCCGCGTGGCTGGAAGATCTCTATAAGCCTGCGGAGAGTAGTACGGTCGCGCTTGCAAGGTGACGTGTATGGTGAGTGAAAAGCTGAATGATCTGCAGAGCTCATTAAGGGTGTGGCAAAGAGTAAACATAAAAAAATATATGAGCTCGAAAGTGCTCAAATTTGGCAGGTTACAGCACATCCTTCTCCCTCATCGGAAGGAACAAACAAAATGGAGGGCGAGGTAAGAGAGTCCATTCCAGCCCTTGGAATAGTCCCAGAAGGCATATCTTCATGATTAAAGAAGAATGAGAGACTGGAATCCCAATGGTCAGGTGCGAAGATTGATCTTATAACAGTGCCCTGGTTCCTCTCTGGATCTCTACAATTTGCAGCGCCAGGACCATGGACGAGATCATGGACCAGAAAGGACCCGTCTGTAAGGCTAGACTCAAAGGATACTTCCGACTGAGATCAATTTCATGAGCTTTGTTTAGAATACCACTCCGAATAACGGCCCTCCAGCCAATTCCCTCGTAAAAAAATCTTCCAGCCGTTGCCATGCCCTGGCGCCAAGTATGGAATAAAACCACTTCTTTCTTACCACAGTGCAAGCTCTTCCACTACCTGGTCAACTAAAGTTACACTGCTTCCAAAGGAATTTATATCTCAAAGCTTTTACAAGGTGACTGACTGGAACCTACAAGCCCATCAAAATGCCTATACCTCATCCCTCCTTCCTCTACCGTGAGTCAACGGAACCACCAACAGTCGCACTTCCACTGGAAGCCCGAAAGATCCATTTTTGCCATTCTGCCTTGCTCGGCGTCAACCCCTACTCAAGCAGCCATCTCTACAAGCGGGTCGGCCCATGGACCATTCTCAACCCCAGCGGAGTCGGCACATACATCCCTACAGGTTACGCGTTCCGACACGACATGGTCCACGGGGGTCGTTGTGCGCGAACCGTTGCCGAGAATGAGGTCAAGTGTTATGTCCGGACTCTGGTGTGCAAGGGAGGGAAGTTGGAAGGATGGTAAGTCGTTACGGATGACATTCAGTGGACAGAACTGATGAGATTCAGGTGGCCAAGGACGGAGAATTATCGAGGCGACGGCCACTGTTTCGACTGTATCTTCCTGCGGCCCAACAACTTCGGGTGCACGATCGACGCGGAGCCAGCAGCAGACACGCCCGAGCCAGGAACCCCGAGCCCCGAAGAACCGCAACCGGACATACAAATCGTGGGGACGTGGGATCCGCTACCGGAGCCAGCAACGGCGGGGTCGGAAGCGGACCCGCGAGGCAGCGAAGCTCCGGAGACTGCGCTGGCGCGCGAGGAGTCGGTGGAATATGACGAGTCCCAAGCGGGAGATACGAGCAGCGATGACGAGTCTGACGATGTGTCTCCGACGGCGCATGTAGAACGTGAGGCGAGGAGGCAGAGAGAAGCTCGCATGGAGACGCGGAGGATGATGTTGGTAGAGCAGATGCGCAGGGTTCATGAGGCGTGAAATGAATGTGAAAATGAGGGTGACGGGAGAGTCATTGGAGGAGGGGAGAACAATTCCAGAACCGTTGTGACGTTTTGTTAGAGACTGACGGATTAAAAAGCCTACAGTGCAATCAAATACGCTGAACGTCTCAAAAGTGAGTTGAGCCAAAATGTTAAGTTCTGAAAGCCGTAGATTTCCAGACATTTAGACTCAACAATCACGGACCCTCCGCAACGGCATCGAAGGCCTCGAATGTAACGATTTCCGGACGAGATTGTGCTGTCAAGCAATACAGAATGAGAATCACCGTACCGAGCAAAGGAGAGAACCAGCGCATCAATAACATCAGGTAAACCTGTAACGTTCACCCATCCCGACATGCTTTGGGGCTTATGGGGCAAATGCAAATCTCGCACACCGGGCTGATGCAAACATTCACATACTACACTCCAGATCCGCATAGCGCCGTCTCGGCAATCGCGCCTTCCGCCCATTGAAGCGGGCAATGATCGCTGTCTCGACGGTTTGTTGATGCTTCTGTTCAACACTATCAAAAGCTCATCAGCTTGAAGTGTGGAAACGGGTTGGCAGATATCATCTCATCGACCCAGACCTGGCTTCGTGGTCACGATCGTTCTGCGTTCGGAGATCTACGATGATCATGGAGCCGTGCCATGTGGCCACTGGGTTACGAAGTGTGTGGATCCCATTACGGATCGACTCATGCAAGCATAACTTCTTGTTGCTATTTTCCGGGGGCGTTGGGGACGATCGCTGTCTGAATTGAGACAGCGATACTGTAGTCCGCTTGTCTTCGAAACGATTTGCTGGCGACTGTATTTGGGAAGAGGCGGCGGTATACAGAGGTAGAGCGAGGGTGATGGCGGCGAGGAAGAACACGGTCCAGTTGGCTTCGAGAGAAATGAGTAATCTAGGTCGGGAGAGGAAGTATGGAGGACGGGTTTGGGTTCAGTCCGAAGTGCCTGGCCACTGCGCTGGAAATCAAGGATGCTGCTGCAGGCTGACGGACGAAATGTTGGGCATACAGTCTGATCCAATACTCATCACCACAAGAGCCTCGGCATCTGCTTTGATATTGAAAATAGCAATGGCGCAGTCACAGGAGAAGAAGAAAAGGTCTTGGCTGCGATCCCCGAAACGAAACCTGTATCGGCCAATTCGGTGTCTCTCCGTGTCGAATATGACTCAAGTAATACGCGAATCTTCAGCAGAGATTTGATCCCGCCAGTATGATTTGCGACTTACCGGTTCCTTCTAAACTCCCACGTTTATCGCTGCAAGTGCAAATCTGCAGTAGTGTTGCCTCCATGGTGAAATTTCTTCACACTGAGGAATGCGGAGATAAAGTAGTTCCAAGCCAGCAAAGGAAAAGAGCGAGCGATTCCGAATTGGCGCAAAGCTGGCGGGGCCTTTGTAAGATACTACGAGTGCAATGCTCGGCTCACCGACTTGGAGTCAAAAGGCGGAAAGAATACTATGCCCTGGATACGGAACAATGCTAAGCTGGCATCTGCACGCATTCCGCATTCCTCGCCATCGGCACTGAGCTCGTCCCAATCCTGAAACGGCACGTATTAAATATTGACTGCCCACCCAAGCAGACTGAATTTTTCAACGCAGACATACTCAAAGATCATCCAAAAACCACGGCCTTGACCAGCATGCCTAGAGGCGGCGATCTCTAGAGGGAGCAGCTAGGGTATCCCGGTTTACCAGGCCAACGTGACCGCAGGTCTGGAACTGTGCCTGAAGAGGATACAAACAATAAGCTCGAAAAGCGATCTAGTATTTTTCTTCAAAGGACAGTTTGCTCGGCACTGTTTCCCTGTAAGCATGATCCACTGTCAACAACAATCATCGTCTCGTGTCGCAAAAGCAAGTCGCAAACACTGACTACGCAAACCCAGCACGGACGATGCACTCTGTTTCAATTTCCACCATTTCTTGCTCAGGAGCTCACAGTACAATGGCGTCCTCGAACGGAAAATGGGTCGACACGAGAATGCTGAAAATCATCAGAAGAGCAGTCCAAGATCAAGCGATACGGGGCCACGAACGTGAGGATATGGAACAATTCCTCAGCATCCCTTCTCCAGCGCCTGTGGCTGCGAACTTGCCCACATCGCCCGTGGCCCAGCACCGTCCGCCCGGCTACATGGAAGCACGGGACAAAGGGCGAAAACCCTGTTCGACCACGGCAGCCACTGCAGGACCGGTGCTCAGACTCCGGCTCATCGATCAGGAGAATCTCTACGCATGGCACGATTCAGACCGGCTCCCCTGGGCTGAACTATCACGGACAGCCATCGAGTACCGGTGGGCCACAGGATAGGTCCCCTAGACCAGTCCGTCCAGAGCGATCGTCGACTACGCCTACTGGTTCGCCACAGGCAAGCCCCTCAGGATCAGCTCGTCGGGAACAACATTCGACTGCTCGTTCACCACAAGCCAGCCCCTCATTACCAGCCCACCAGGCGCCCTCACAACTTCCAGCTCGCCACAGGCTCGCTCCCCGAGATCAACTCAACGGGGACGACTCCAGGCGAACCCCGGCGTAGGACAAGCCGGGGACTGGAGTCCTACACTGACGCTACCAGATGCACAACGGGCGAGGGACCGATCAGTTGGTGAATCGGAGAAGTAAAGGCGAAGGGAGTAAAGCAATCACTTGGCGTTCAAGTGGGTAGCAGCCGGAGTCTGGAGTCCAAGTTGCGTTGTGAAGGCGGCTAGAAGCCCATCCGAGAGGCCAAGGCGTCACGGAACAAAACTCCGCGATGTACAACTTGACGAAAAGCGGGTACAGATAGAGGACAGCCTACGCATTCCCATAGAATCTTTCTCAAATGGCTTCGAAGCCGGAAAATACCTAGCTCGATGTCGGCGGGACCGTCGTGCAAGCCGCCTACGAGGTAAACGCAAGCTGTGCAGAGATCCGAGAACCTGGAAGACGACGTACGGATCCGAGTGCTCTGCGGAGGAGTTTCCCAGATCCCCCGTCCCTCGAAAAGTCTCGCGGAAACGCTTTGAGGACTGGCTTGGCAAGACAAGCTTTGAAGCACTAGCACATTGCCGCTTGGCATCTTGGATTCTTCACTCTTGGGAGTTCCCGGTTCACCTTTTCACGTCTCAAGGGTAACGAACGCAGACAGCGGTTAGCAAGTAACGGAATGAGAGGCAATAAATCCAATCTGCAAGACATTGATAGATTTCCAGTAACATGCGATTCCACCAACGCATTCATTGGACTCCGCCGTATCCTGCCGTTAGCGACATCTCCGCCACCAACGACCAGTCCTATATCCACTCCTGAGAATTTATCCTCCCTCAACATGACTCAAGGCAGTCCCCGCAAGGCATTTGACAATATGACCATAATTGGAAAAGGGGGGCGTAGAGCGCTCTACTCTCTTGAAGGAGGTTTCTATCTTCACCATGATGGCAGGGCCAATGACTGCTAACGGCTGTGTAATCGGCGCCGTGCTATTAAGGGGACCTAGCTTCAATAGCGCCTGCACGATGGACATGGAAATGTCTGCTCGCGGGATCTCAGTGGTCGTGAAGGTCACTTGGGCCCACAAGTCGTCGCTGTTCGAACTGGTGTCATCCTCCGGTTTTGTAAGGCTACTTCAGATGAGGTCTGTGCCGTTGATAGCAGATGCGGGCCCATATGTCAGCGGTGGGGCGAGCTCTGTATTTTTCGCCTCGGCCTCCGCACCAATCCTGTACGGCGCAAAAAGTTTCAGGGTCCCAATCTGGATTCCCAGATAAGTCATATCCAATTACGCCGTCCGGAACCTATCGTGGCCAAAGTCTTATCTCTATTCGGAGCTGCAAGACTCCACATCACCCGGCGGCACAGGAGTGATGACTCCTGCATTCATTATACAAGAGATCTCTACTCCCGGGTTGCTGTACGTTGCCCAGGCCTCCCCTTCATATCTCGTTCCGAAGCCTTGCAGAGCTAAGTCACGCATGGTGAGAAGGCAAAGCACCATACATGCTGTGGTTGAGAGGCTCAGGAAAGAGTAGTGGGCCATGTAGCGAAAGTTGGCGTCGGGAAAAGTCTAGAATCATGCTGGATGAGTTCTTACTAGCCCGCATAAGAAGATTCATGTTCGCCGGATGAGACGGGAGAGACGCGGCTATGATTTGTGAACATAGGCTGAAGAGTACATGACTATACCACAGTATAGCGCGCAGATTCTTTCGCGCAATGATGAAAACCGGTCAAGAACTTAGCGAGGAATTCACGGAAGGATTGACAGTCAGAGCACAGAGTATTCCGAAAAGAACGGGGTTGATTTAGATGACTTCTGCCACAGCATTGCTGATCCTGCTTGTCCATGCGGTGTTCTGCGAGGCTTAAGTTACAGCCTGAGCGGAAGGCGACACACGGGGAAAACGCATACATCCTACACAATACTGTAGCATCGCGAGCAGCCGTCGTGTCGATGTGACGCTAAGTGTATCTCTTCAGCGGCCGACTTGGCAGCCATCACGAGAAAAGAAGAATAGGGTGGATATTCTGGGGGTGGCTGCTATCGTTATTCGACGGCCGATGGGCTCATTTCCACATCCTCAATAGTGTCATGATTCATGATGTAGAGACGTGGAAATATCTTGGCACGCTTGGCTCAAGATTTCTTCGTTTGCTTCACAGATGAAGCTTGTAGTCGTGTGATGCGTCTATGTGAGGTAATCAATGCCCTTTTCCAGCAAAAACTAATGATTGCCGAGTCTCTGACATTGCTGCGATTCGAACGTATGGTGATTAGAAGCAAACAGCAAGAGAGACTGAGAGGCCTTCATCTCGGGTCTGCCGAGAAACGAGCCTTATCTGACTTACTCGGTAGTGATACATGCTAGCACATTCGAAAGCCAAAGTGTTGACTGCCCTGCAGCTTGTCTCCGCTCACCACCAGCTCTACACTTCAGCCACCATGCATTCCACCGTCGACGCCTCGTCGAGAAGGCCAAGACACGTAAAAGGCGATGCTCGGACGGCTGCATTGTAGTCACATGAGGCCTACTCGAACGCCAATTCCTTGGTCCAATCGTACCCATTGGACGTCCCAAAGGATATTGATTGGCCGGATATTGGGTGGGTGCCTTCGGTCACCTCCTTCGGCATTTACATCTGACTTTTCTACACGTGCGAATCCAACGCCTCAAACGCGTTTTTGCCTTTCTTCCAACGAAACCCTGCCGCACACCCGGTGTCAGGAACTTGGGATCAGATAGCAGCGGCTGCAGATCCTTTGCCTCGTTACCAGTCTAACAATCTCGGTCTTTTTTTTAAAGGGTTCATGCAAACTTGACATTGACGATCTTGTTGATCTTCCGTATAGACACGGTTGCAGTTGCTCTTTTTCGTTAAGAGTGGATACGGGTAATGCCAAGCGACGCGGAATGATACGCAAGAGCGAATACAGAGGATTGAAGGAATGGTACTTTAATATTCAATATTCAAAAGTAATGATAATAACGAAGGAGCTTGGCCGGATCGTGTACAAGATGAGGTAAAGTAATGATCTTAAGGTACGTTACGTATCAGATCTGACAATTCCAAAGGATCAGAGGCGCTGTTTTCGAGGTCTAGACCAGCCAGCTCGGCCGGTCTTGGCGTTGGCTTGGGGGGTACGTCTTGCCAACTCACGATCCCTGTGCAAATCCCCCAAATCTCAACGAATGAACACTCATTTCAAAACATAGCATCCTTATATCATTATATGTGATCAAAAGCCAAGATGAGATCTAGCGATCGTCTGAAGTTTAAATTTAAGACGATTGTATTGAACCCGGGAAATGATATGGAAAATGAGGTCAGCACGGCGTCTCCATCCAATCCAGAAGCTGCTCCTATCATCCCACACCATGCCACGCGCATACAGTTGCATTTTCAGCCTCGCAGCAACGTCCGCTGGCGCCCAAACGGCCCTAAGAGGCCCAAATTGATGCTGAAGGCCAGAGCCTAGACATAGCCGGTGAATTGATGCATTTGTGGGCACACGCTGAAATTATGAAGAGCCGTGGGACGGTAGTTATCGAAAAAGCCGGCGACTCCCTTTCTTTCGCTTCATCATCAAAGTAGTCAGTCTGTCCACTCAGAAAATAATAACGAAACAAATTTATTCTGCCTCTCCAACCACAGTCGTTTGCATCTCCTCCCGTCCTTCTCGCATAAAGTACTACCTACCTCGAGCCGTATTTCCGCTCGTCCTCCCCGGCCAATCGAACATTGTGCATTCTGCCTACGGCTGAGAAAAGCAATGACTGGCTGACCTTGACCTCTTTCGCTCAATCTTTCCCATAGCATCTATCCACAGTGGCGCAGCGCGTGTGCCCTCCCACGTGGATGCGCTCATGATGGCGTCTCCAACCCCCGGGTACATGAATCCTCAAACACTGCCTAATAGGCTGCCCAAACTCTCATACCGAACCAAATCATGCGACACCGAGTCGGTCAGCTCTGCGTCCACTGGATTTACAAGGTCCACAGTATCCACCGCTCCCACCTCGCCGCTCCACTCCAATTTCTGCCCTTCACCACGGTCGCCGTCTTCGGAGATGTCTCTTCCTTGCAGCCCGGGGCGGTCCTCGTTGGCTCCATCGTCAACGTCTTCAAAGACCTCCTCGAACCTCGCAAAGAAACGATCAAACTTCTTCTCAAGTCTATTCAGCGTCAAAGAACCTTCGGCACAGGCTTTGCAAGACTACCAGCGGCAGTTGATGAAGCAGGGCGGTGGCCGAGTCACTGCAGTCGGCATGCCAGGCGTGTCATCAGCGAAGCTGCCGGTCACGGTCCCCAAAGTCAACTCGAAATGGGACGGTGTTCCGCAGACATTGAAAGAGAAGGAGAAGCAACAGGACGCGGCGAGTCAATCAATGTCAGGGTTGAGCCGGCCGCTTGGCACCTCAAGGTCAGGAGGATCGGAGCGTAGGGCTATATCTACGGCAGATTCGTCAAGAAGACGTCTCAGCCGTGGTACCCTCGGTGGAGCGTCAATACAGAGTGGTAGCAGCAACAATTTGGCTGAACTTTACGGTTGGGAGACCAGTAGCTATCATAGCGGAAGCTCCGCCATAGATTATGCCACGGAGCATAGGCGTACGACATCTCGGACTACATCATCCTGGAGTGCTCCTCCTCTACAGCAGAACTCGTCATATTTCCCACAAGATCTTCCTCGACCGCCCGCTGTTTCGTTCCCACCCACCAAGCTGTCTCCTCCAAATCGCTTTGGCTCACCGAATCCACCCGCTCTCTCCTACTCGCCAGTGTTCACGCCTTATGATTCATCGCCTGCCACACCCGATGCACCGTCACAATTCATAAGCTTCACTTCGCCGATATTAGAACATAGTTCTCAAGAGAACACCAAGACTACTTTGTTAGAAGCGCCGGGGTCTGCTGAAGAAGTCATTGTGAAGTCAGCTGGAGTCAACATCCTTGGTCCTCCCGCCGCGGCGAAACGAAAACCCAGACCCACTCCTCTCCAACCCAGCAATCAGCGCCCACAAACATCAGGAGAGGGGTCCCATTTTAGCTCTATGCTTCGCAGGGAACCACCAGTCCAGAAAGATGCGCCATCTCAACGTCCACCGATTACTTCTTACTTCCCGAATACCATAACTACGCCAAGTTCAGATTCACCTGCAACAGTGCCTACCCGACACAACTCTACGCGCGAGAGGCTGGGGCTGGGCATGAGCTTAAAGAATCGAACTGTAGCGCCATGGCAGTTTCCTGAACAGGCGACGGATGTCAATGCCAGCGGCGAGAGGATCATCACGCCAACGCCGGAGAGTGGACGGTCTTTGAGAAGGAAGGGTCGGATGGCTTTGTTCAAAAAGTAATTCGCCTCTTGTTATGCCTTATGTGAAGCGTTGGAGTTCTCGGTTGATTATAGGCATCTCTGATGGTGTGCTGCTTGCTTTTTCCTGCTCGTCACTACCATCTTGGGCGGTGTTTCTGAGCTGGCTACATTGCAACTATCTTGGGACAGATATTGAGCGTGGTGTTGTGGGTCTATGTGTGCGTTTGCTACATGCAGTTTGCTGTTTGCTATATACCCCTGTGAGATGTACAAGTTTATGGAGTGAGGTCACTTATAGATAGGACTTGGCTCCTGCTCTTACTCAATGAAAGTCAGTATTAATACTTCCATCGTGCCTTCTTTGCAGCGTGACTCGTGACCCCCTTCAGCTCAATCAATCTCACGGCTCGTACCTCCGCACTAAATCCATCTCTCGCCAAACCTTCCCTTTCCGTTCCGCCGGCTCCTTCACTCTCAACCTCACCTCGCGCAGCAAATCCAGCGATTCATCATGCCCCCTCTCTCCATCCCTCCCCGCACCCCGGATCCCCTACACAATGACCAGCAACCTGACCCCCGTCCGCCTTCTCCAACAGCACCGCCCTACTCCCCCATAACCCCCACCATGTCCAACTCCCTCCCCGCTCCCTCCACCGAGGCGGCCGGCAGCAGCTACACCAAACCCCGCATTCAACACCCTCCCGCGCCTCCCCCGCCCGCCCCGCTCCCCTCTCACGCCCCCGCCCCGCAGTCCTCAACCACCCAACCCGCGCCACCTCCCCCTCCCACGCCTCAAATGCCAGCGCTGCCCCCGCCCGTCCCCGTCCGCGAGTGCAGCAACCCCGACGCGATCGCCCTGCGCGCGGCCATGTCCGTTCTGCAACTGCAGCGGCAGCAGGCGCTGCGGGACATGCGGACGCTGGAACGGCAAAAGGAAGCCGCCGTCGCCGACCCGGAAGCTTTCGCCCGGGCCGTGGCCGGTGGGAAGATCAGGGCGCGGGGGATGCGGGGGATCCTCGGCCCTGTGGGGGAGGTGCGGGAGGGCTTCGACGGAGCGGACACTACGCGTGCGGGGGGGGTGGATGGTGGAGAAGGTGGTGGGGAGGTGCATGGGTTGGGGGATGGAGACGACGACGACGGTGCGACGGTGGGGATGGGTGGGGGGGCGGCGTTCGGGGAGATCCCGTCCGGGCAGAACGTGGTGCGCATGCCGCCGGTCAACTGGGCGAAGTACCACATCGTGGGCGCATCGCTGGACAAGCTGCACGAGGAGCAGCGGTCCCGACCCGTGGCCGGCCAGCCGCTCCGGGACGGGGACGTGAAGCCCAGGCCGAGGGCGCCGGAGCACGTCGTGGCTTCGCCGTATGATCCGTGGAGGGACCGGTTGGACGGGAAGGACAAGGGCAGGACGAGGAGCGGGAGGGGGAAAGGATGAGGGGGTTCGGGATCGCGAGTGGATGCGGTGAACGGTTGATGGGTTTTCCGGCGGTCCGTTTTTCCGGAAGTCTGCGGGGACTGGGGCGAGAGGTGAGGGCTGTGTGATGGTGGTGGTGCATTTTGCTGGCGGACTTGCACGCTTTACAACGGGACTCGAGCATGGAAATAAGGACTCTACGTCGAAATCCTCGACCGGGTTCTTGACCCGTCGTTGTTCTTCTGTGATGTCTACTATGGGTCTGAAGCCCCAGCGAATCTCTTGCCGGATGGATGGCTCAACAGGCTTCTCGTTCAATGGGAAGCGTGCGCTACATCCCGCCATTCTCTAACGGTTTTTCTGACTCTTCCTTGTTTTTCTACGCTGTCGGGTATGCTCGTCGCCCAGAACCCTGCCCAACCATGTGCTCCGTCAATCGTCCAACGGAACCAAATCCAACGATCCCATCACCCTGCACCAAACCAGAAAAAAACCTCAATTCAAACCTCCCTGCACCAAACCAAAACCTCAATTCAAACCCTCCCCCAGCCACCGAGCCCCAGATCGCCGGCTCGAGAGCGCAGCATGTGCGTTCTCTGGCCGTCTCCGGCTCGCCCTCGTCACTCCGTGGGTCCGAAGCCACTCGGCCCCTTTTTGGAAACGGCGTTCTTCAGTTTCCATCGGATGCAGGATGTGGGCTTTCGCCCGCGGTCCTTTTTTTTTTCAACGCCAATCTAGGCCGCCGCCCGTTTTTCGAGCCACGGGGGACGGACGGGGCTTTTACGCCGGGGTGGGGGGGGCGAGGTAGCTAGGTTGTGTCCGTGGCCGACATGCGTTGCGTCGTGGGCGAAGGAGAAGGGAGGGGTACACGCCCGGTTGATCGGGCACGCTGCCGGTGTTTCTTTTTTTTCGGGATCGAACCTCTGTGCATTTGGGCGATGGGCGGGGAGTTTGGGGTTGGTAGAGTACGTGCTGGGTCGGTCGGGTGGGCTGCTGGCGTTTCGAAGTCGGACGGGGAGCTTTTTTCGGGACTTGGCGTTGGCTTTGGCTTTGGTGAAGCGTTTCGCAGCCTTTTGGGAGGCGTTTCGCTGCCCTTGGGACTTCTTGCGGGTGGAAGATGCGCAGACGTGGTCGTGTTGGGCCGGTGGTGCTTTCGGGTGGAATGCTGTCGCTTTTTTTGTTACGTTTTTCTTCTCTTTCTTCTTCTTCAGATCGGATAGACGCAGGTTTCGGAACAAAGCCTTTAACTTTCCGGCAATCTACCTTTATTTGATACCTCCCTGGTCGTATCATCAAGCCAAGCAAGCAGTGTTGTTGAGGGAGGGACACAACCGTGCACATCTTCTCTTAGACACAGCTTCATCCCCAACATATCTACCAACACATCCACATATCCAAAAACACACACACACATGCTGGCCAAATCCCGCCATCTCTCCGTTTTTCACTGACTGGCGGCTGGGAAATGGTGATTTTTCCGACCCCGCTGCTTACGGTTACACAACATAATCTCGTCATCCGGCGACGTAACCTCGCAAAAAATCTCGGAGACCCTTCTGCAAGAGCCGGTATCTTAAATCGGGGAATTCTGTACCGTCTTCTTTCCCACAATAAACAGAATTGAGCCCAGCATGGCCACCTTCCCACACCCGGCAATTCCCCTTCGACAGGAATCCTACACGAGTGCAGCTGAGCCCAGCATGGGAACCGAACCCCGCTACTTCGGCAGGGTCAAAGCCGTCAACACCACACCGCCCTCCTTCACCATCATTCCGGAAGACCGCACCAGCCGTCCAGATTACGACCTCGCCTTCGGCCTTTCGAATATCCAGCTCGTGGAGTTCCTGAATCTGTTCGCTTCAGGGGAAATGCGGGTGTCTTATGTGTTACGGCCTGGTCCCACTGGAGCGTTGCTGGTTCAGGATGTGCAGAGTGCGGAGACTGTGATCGTGAAGGAGGAGGGTAGTCCATCTTGGTCTGCGGATGGGCCAGGAGAGGGCAAGGTTGAGAGAGGGAAAGATGTGAGCATGATGACGCACGGAGGAGAGTGAGACGATGGCTGACCAAGTTAGGTAACATCACAGGTTGGCTTCCTGGCTTCCCAGCATGACAGGATTACGCTTGAGGAGGAAGCTCGGCGCAACGCGAAGGGCGAATTCGTATGTGGATTTGATCTCGAAAGTGGTGTGTGGTGATGACTGACTTCTCTGTTAGCGAAACCGCATGGGCGGCCTGCCTTCCCATTTTCGGGCCATGAAATGGGACGAGTGGAATGCTGAAGGAGGGAGAGCCAGAAGAGGCTAGGTAGAAGGCTGGGATTCGTCTTGGGGTAGGCTCGGGCCCTGCGTAAGGGAGCAAGTCTGGGGAGTGGAAGAGTTGCGGTTGAGGTCGTCTAAAGAAAAGGTTTCTGAACGATAGGAAGTCGAGAGTGTCTACCGCTCGAATAGAGGTACAATTACTCCATGGGGACGTCTCGGTGCAAGCCCGTATGTACCGTGTTCAGGTGTCAGTACCCATATGCTTTAGTTGAATGACTGCCGGCGGTTGCAGTCAACCGTTACCTTACTTCTCTTCCGATCATACCTTTGATTAAATACATTGACCCTCGTGAGCCTGATGTTGCCGCTTCGCAGGCCGGACACCGTAATCCTCGGCTCTTCTCGTTGTCCATCTGCGGTTGAGCATGCTCAGGCGGACCATCAAGCATTCTTTTTACTCCAAGATTATCCGTCGTTAGTACTCACTATCCCCCAAGTAGACCCTTCCCTATACTTCACTGGAGCTGTAGGTAAACGTAAAATGTAGCGAGTCCTCTGATTCAGATCAGAGTCTCACGCATAAGAGCCACCATACCCAGCAAAGTCGACACAGCATACACGCATCAGTGTCAGTAGTCCAAGGCTCGAAATCTGCGAAATCTGCGAAGGTAAGCGGAGTGGTGCCATCATTCTCCGGCAACCCAGCCTCACCGAATATTCTTAGGGTATGAGCGCATGGAGAAGACGAGCATATGGTTGTGAGGGAAAGAAAGTTGGAGAGTATGGACCAGCAAATAATGTTAGCATTTCCACGGGCACACCTGCCATTCTCTTTAAAGTGGGAGAGCGGTGTATAGAACTGGAAAATATGTCGATGGATTGGAAATCTTGAATTGGATATTCAGAAAGCACAGGCTGCTATGAGGATGGGAGAAGCAATGTAGACAGACGGTACACAACTTCATTGAGTAGCTTGAAGCACCATCCAACTGAAAATTGCACCGAAATAGCCAGATCTGTTGGCCAAATGTGCTTTTACAACCCGGCTTTTGCACAGCAGGATTCTGCCGTCTTCCTTGGAACAAATACCTGTATGCAAGACATATGCGTTAGCTTTTCTCGATGTTTGCTGAGATGGGAATGTCTTGGAATGTTCAGAGGAAGTTTTCTGTAGCCACCAGACGCAGGGGGCCACATAGATAGAGCTGCTCTCCACAAGGCCACTGACTGCATTGTAACATCATACTCTTCTCATTCCACTCACCCTCAGAAACATCATGGATCCAATGGCATTCTGTGTTCCGCTGGCCTCAGTTGGTCAAGGGCGTCTAGAGCCAATATCGTTAGACTTGTCGATCTCCCGCGAGTAACCAAAAATGACTGCAAGCCTTGACTTTCTCTTTCTATTGTACTTGTACATACCTCTCTGGCTTCTCCTCCTTCCTTTTCCCGTCCTCCTTATCAACCGCCCAAGTGCCTGCTTGATCTTTGCTATCTTTGTGCTCTTATTGGAATCGTCCCTTTGCTTTGGCTGCTTTTGTTTCTTGTTGCCTTTCTCCGGCTTTGCGCTGCCAGTCCTTTCTCTCTGTCAGTTTCTCTTCAATTGCTGTGCTGCTATTGTTTCTTACGTCGGCTTTTCGTGTATTTCTTGCCTTGTGAGCGTTCCCTGAAGCCCAGAGACGTTGCCAGATTGTTCTCGACGGCTTTTATCAGTACCTCTTAGGCGTCGACGATTTGCGGTCAAAGGCCGTTCGTCTTCGTGTGCTGCTTGCGGTTTGGATTGCCTACTTTTGAGCCAGTTAATGAAAGGCATTATTGCAATGCCAATACTGAGGCTGCATGCCAGTTAGCCTCAAGACTCGGACGACACGGCAAGAGGACAAGGGATAGAGCAATAGGACAGGAGACATACATCTAAAGGTGATGTGGTGACGATGGTTGATGAGGGTGGAAGATCTTACAACAAGTGTCATATTGAAAGTAGCTGGTTGCTATCGCCCGAGGTTAGACCGATTTGTGTGACCGGGGTGGTTGCTATGTATGCCCGAAAATCTCATTTATCTTTCCTCCTCCCTCAACCTTCCAACCTACCACCCTTCCCCATTTCCCCAACTTCTCTTCCATCAAGCTTGTGTGCTTTCAACGTGGCCATCAAGGCCTTCAAAGATTCTGCTTCAAGCTTTCTACACAGTGTTGCCCCTCTGCAATTCGCAGAAGTGGTGCCGCACTGACTCACCCTGCGACCTCCGCACTCGCCTGACACAACCCCAACACAACGCACAAATATAGCACTACGACCTTGCAATCATGTCTTTCGTCACTCGTAACAACCCTAGCCAAGGAGACAATCATCGCTCTCGTTTCTCGCTTTACGAAGATGACGACGCTGACCAGCATGAAGAGTACCAGAGCACACGCTCAGAGCTTCCGGCTGAAATCCCGGATAGCCAGCCTGACCCATACCTCCCAGCTGAGATCCCTGATAGTCAACCCGACACAGACTATCGCGAGGATTTACCCTTTGGTGACCTAGACTATTTAGAGGTCTCGTCCCAGTTACCTACTCGTGGTCACGGTGACCTCCACCTTGGTGACGCTAGCGCCGTCGACGGGGGCGACTACGACCTTGGTGAAGAAGAGGCCGTTATTCCCCGTGACTGCAATCTTGACAACCAGAAGATTATCGACTCTCGTGTCAACCGCTTTGACTATCCTCATCAAGAAGAGTTCGATGACAGTGCCCTCGACGAGATCGTTCGTAGCTCGTCTTCTGAGAGCACTGAGATAATACCTGGAGGCACTCGGCTCACTGTACGTCTCAAGCATCGTGTTGTAAGTCTATGCCACCGTCCTCCCATTACAACTTCCCCGCTTTCCATTTGCCTCGGTTCTTCCCGGCCACAATAAATACTTTGTCGTGTATCGAGCATTTCACACCATCTATGTGTCAGAACCATTGAGTAGTGCGGGATCTGACTTGTCTCGACCTTAGCCTTTACACAAAGAAGGGGTCAATTGCAACGGCCGACTACCTATAGCCGCTCCTCAATACAAAGGTTTCGACGCCATGGAAGAACAATGCACCCAACCAGCTACTCAGCCAGTCGCTCGTCAAGAAGGCTTCAATAGCATGCTCAGCGAGCAAGATGAATCAGACATCATCTGCATCCTCCTCCCTACATCACCGGCAGCTCATGAGGCTGTCGAGCTTACTGCTAATGCAGCACCTCAACATATTCTACAGAATCATGGCATGTCTCACATATACAAAGCTCCTGACGAAGACATGACTACTGGAGGCGATACAAGATCAGGTGACGAATCTGACGATTCCGAGAACTTAAATGCCCAGCCTCCTGATCCGAACCAGTCAAAATGGGATGGACCCGCAAAGGATATTGCTCTTCGATTTTCCTCAAAGGTTCACAATCTTGGCCTAGGTTTTACCTTTGGCCGCAACCCTGCGAGGTGCGACTTGTTGCTCACCAATCATGACACCTACATGATTAGTAATCGCCACTTTCGAATCTTCATGAAGAATAACGGAAGTCTCATGATCGAGGACACTTCCACTAATGGCACAATCATTGACGATATCGTCTTACACGGCCCTAAGGGCGACTCCTCGGATACCAATCGCGAATCACAACATACCCTTTGTAACGGTGATACCATTGAGCTTCCTCTCCAGGGAAAACAGCGCGGACAGTCTATCAGATTCAGTGTCAAGATGCCCATGAGGAGCGAAGTCGGCATTGAAAAGTACACCCAGAATTGTTATGCATACATCAAGTGTGTTGAGCAAGCAGAACGACAACATGGATTTCTTGCTCAAGCTGCACGAAACGGTAATGCTCCGGTCGTACCCCCAGTAAGATTCAAAGCTTCTACAACTTTTTGCTGGCACAGAATCTGACCCAGAAGCAGGTCCCTATGCACGCCTTGCCGCAGGGCGTGAGGCCGGACACTTCGCCCCACACATCTCTGTTGGCAGCTGCGACTGGAGCCAACTCCCACGGCATGCATTGGAGTGGTGGTGCCAAGTATAACGTTGTTGGCTTTGTTGGCTCGGGAGCCTTTGCAAACGTATACAAGGTGTCCTCGAAGAGAGATGGTGTAGTGTTTGCTGTGAAACAGTTGGACAAGAGCCGTCTTGTCAAAGATGGGAGCCTTTCAAGCAAGATCTACAATGAGCTCAATGTCATCAAGGGCTTACGTCATGTAAGTGCTCCTACTCTCCAAGAAGACGCGGCAAGACTGACACCTCACCAGCCCAACATCGTGAAGTATGTCGACCATCATGAGACAGCTCAGTGGCTCTTCATTGTAATGGAGTACGTTCGTTATGGAGACCTCGGCGCGTGGACCCGTAATGGAGCTCCAATGCCGGAGTATATGTCGATGCATGTCGCTCGACAGATTTTGCAGGCTCTGGACTACCTGCATCAACGTGGTATCACCCACCGGGATCTTAAGCCCGACAACGTCCTGATGGAAAGTGATTGCCCCTATGTCTTCAAGCTATCCGACTTTGGACTCTCGAAAATCGTCACCAACAAAGAGACTTTCCTCAAGACTTTCTGTGGCACGATGATGTACTGTGCCCCTGAGGTCTATCCGGGATATAACAGAGTCAAAGCCTCATTGCCATCCAAGCGTTCGCGTACAAATCCAAAGTAAGTAGAGGCCATGTCGCCTGTAGGGCATGTCGTACTGATACAGTGTATCAGGTACGATCACACGTTCCCCTACCAGCACTCTGTTGACTTATGGGGTCTTGGTGCCGTGCTTTACCACTTGCTATCTGGACAAGCACCTTTTATTGCTAGACACGATCCTCAGGGTGAGGATATGCTGTGGAATGTGATGCACAAGCCGGTGAACTGGGAGCGCTTGAGGATGGTAGGCGTATCACACCTGGGCATCGACTTTCTATCTGGGATGCTCGTCACAGATCCCTCTGAGCGTGCTTCCGACGAGGAATTGTTAGACCATCCATGGGTTCGCGTCGCTGAAGGCCCAGCAGATGCGTCTGACTGTGTTCTTAGTGACCCAGCCGAGCGCTTCCTGAACGCTCATGCATCTCAGCTGAGCATTGGCGATGAGGAAGATGATAGAGCAGAAGAACCAGTCGGGGATGCGACCGAAGATCCTCGTGCGTCTAAACGTGCTCGAGCTTGGGTTCCGGACGTGACACGGAACGTATGGGGAGAGACTCCATCGATGGTGGCTCGAAATCATCAGCAAGCAAACTGGGCCGATGCCCCACCGCTGGACATGACGTGTCCGCCACCCCAAATTTCTGCAAACAATATGGGAGTTCAACCGCAGCCAAATCGGCTTTTCGGCGAGATTGGAACGTCTGCACTTGCTAGCTCCGGCGCCCTTGGTACAGAGGGTAATCGCGCGTTGCGAGTACATGGACATGGGCCTGGAAGCTACGACCAATCTTCCGAAGGTCTTTACAATGATTCTCGTGCTGGCAGCCCAGAAGACGCTAGCGCGGCAAATGTGTCTAACACCCATGCCGATCATCAACAAAATACAAATCGAGGGACCACAAAAGACGACGTTCAGCATTCACAACGCTTACCTGGTCCTACACACAGCGGAGCTGCACCCAGTCTGCTTGGTACTGAGGTACTCGTTGGTCAGCTCAACATGACGTCTACTGGATCTGGCGCATCTGCTCGAGCGGAGAATGGCAAGCCCGCCACCCCAAAATTGTCCAAAGACCGCGACTCTCCGTCTTCTCAGCCTAACTCCAAGCGTTCCAGCCAAGATATGCTACCTCCCGAATTCGAAGGAGCTTCTAAGCGACCCAAGACTACTGGTATTGAACACCCACCTGGCGAGCTACCTAACACGTTTGAGGGATATTCTGCGGCGCGTCGCGCGTCGATCGAAGATCTTAGACAGAAGAGCATGTCTCCAATGTCCATACCCGGCCTACGAGGTAGTAACTACGGCGGATATCAAGATGGCCAACAGTCACGTGGAGCATTCAAGAGCAATGACGACTTGCCAACGACAGCATTCAACAGCCGCGAGTCGTCTCAACACTTTGGAGCAGAGGATGATGACATCATGATGGGATATGACGGAGACAGTGAAGATGAAGTCTTACGTCTCGAAGAAGCACTCGCTGCTGCTAAAGCCAAGAAAGCAGCAAAAGCAGCATCTCGCACCACCTCTCGCCCCATCTCGCGAGCCTCTTCACGCCCCACATCTTCGCACGCGGACCCAACTTCTACCATCCCCCAACCCATGACCGGCACCGCGATTTTTGACGCGACGGCCCATCTTGCCCCGACAGCAACCGCATCCTTTGTCAAGCCTCCTCTCCGCTTCGGCAACCTCCAGCCCACACGCGGCTCCATCCATACACCCGCCATCTACATCACAGAGCGATTAACCACCTACGGCCGCAAACCCGACTCCACGTTCGTTCACCCCAACCCCAGAGACGACCGTATCCCCAAGCAAGCCCTCGACATCCAGATGTGGTACCCAGGGATCGAGGCCGACATCGACGCCGACAAGAAGAACTGGGTGAATCATCCAAAGCTGGAGGCGATCTTACGCACGCACGCGTCTCTGTATGTGCTGGTTAACGGAGTAAAGTTGAAGAAAGGGAGAGGGGAGTACTTATGGGGCAGACTGAGGACTGGGGATGAAATCACGGTCGTGGAACCAAGGATTGGTGCGACATCGGCAAGAGACAAGGAGTTTCTACGCTTCCGCTGCGAATTCTTCGTCGGCATCAGCAAGAATATCAGAAAGCCGGGAGAGAAAGCTTTCGTCGTCGAAGTCGAGAAGGACAAGTTCAAGGTGGCTGAGGATCGCAAGAGTCGTGAGAGCACCGCTGCGCTTGGAGCGAGCAAGAACGGCGAAGGATCGAGCAAGGACAAGGGAAAGGGCAGAGAGATTGACGAGGCTACTTCCAACACCAACAATGCTACCGGCAAGAGTTAGGACTTACGGGTTGAGTCGCGGTGTGGTTTGGGGTCATTGCCCACTACTAGTACGACTCTTTCGCCAGCCCGTTGGCCCTGCTTGCGGGGTTCAACGGGTATGGTTTTCTTGTGTGTAAGGGTTGAGATTGCATGCATGTTTGTGAGCGAGCGGAAATGAGGTTCAGCAAAAATTAGCGAGTCGTGATTTTGCGATAGCATAGCATGCAAAGTGTTTTAGATCAATCGAGCAGCTTGCAATAGCATGATTCTGATGACGTAACTTGATTGTAAGGCTTATTGTAAGCTCGATACCGAAGATCTAGCCGTCCTGCTGTGTCGCATTCGTAAGGGTGGTGACCAGCAGGTATAGCTCTCATACTCAGATACTAAGCAACCATTGTGCCGTGATAAATACTGAGCAGTAGCGTAGTATTGCCTCCCCACTTAGACAGCAAAAGCCAGTATGGTACCATATGCGATGGCAAGCCCTTCAAACCCCTCATTTCGAGAAGTGCGATACAGCACCCTCACCTTCCCATCACTCATCCTGACAGCTCCGCCTCCGCCTTCTTCTTCTTCCATTGATTCACACTCTTCACAGACCGAGGATCCCTCGTGCCATCCGGCTTCAGTAGATAGCCGTCTCTGTCCCTCTTTCCAGGCTTCTTCCCCCCCTTACTCTCCAGGTTCTGATATCGTGCAGATCTTCCATCAACCTCACCATTAGCTCTGAGGAGAAGACCATGCTCATCACGTCGGCCGCTACTAGATCTCGAGTCTCGAGAGTCGACGTCCCAGACTGAAGTGCTTGGAGTGCTCGCATCGAAAGCGGTGGTCTTGCGGCGCTTGCTGTTGCGATGGGTGGTGCGGCCGCGAGCTGTCTTGTTGCCGTCGCTGGGCTCGGAAATGGGAGGAGCCACTGGCACACTTTGTCGGCGTTTGGTCTTGGGTGGAGGCTGCTGGGCGCTTTGATCTGCTCGATTCTGGGGTGAATGAGCAGTCTTGCCTGCTGGCTGCCAAGAATTCCTAGTTGATGACCCAGTCGATGACTGAGGGCGGACGTCGTCGACAAGCTCATCATCGTATTTATGGTCGTCTTGGTTATTTTGATGAGAGCCAGTGGAAGTCTCTTGCAATTGAGATATATTTCGTGGAAGAATGGTTGAATCCGTATTACCCGTGATAGACGTCGATGCTGTGCGAGGAGTAGCCACATCACTGGCGGTTGAGCTCCCGTGCCTGATGGTATTCTGGTCTGGCCCCTTGCGTGGTATTTGGGGAGGTGGCATGTTGACTGAGGTGTGGCTTCCTCTGCTGGCGGTGCCATTGATGAGCGTTCTTGGCCTCGTGGCAACCATTTTCTGGGGTGGCAGCGCTTCGGCTTTGGATCCCAATGAGAGCCGTTGAAAGTGTGGATCGCCTCCATCCACCGCATTATGTCTCTCAGAGGCGGTTTTCTGGGGTGCCAACAAGCCGTCAAAATATGCGGACATTGGTGATTGAGTAGCTGATAAAAGCAATCCATTTGACGTTGCGTCATTGCGTGGAATTGCTTTTTCGTCGATTGTAGGCGATGGTCGGTTCGATACCTGTGCAGAACCTAGTACTGTAGATGATCGCCGCCCCGTTGGCCTTGAATCCTCCATGCGCTTGATACGCTGCTGCATCATTTTCATCTCGAGCTTAAGTGCGTCAAGCTCACTCAGTCTGCTGCTGACCTTTGTAATACTATCCGTGAGCAGATCAACGTCCCCAGCGAAATCTTGAGATGCCTGGTCTCTTCTATCCTCCAAATGCTGGACAGATTCCCTGACAGAGATCATGTCTTGCTGCAAAATGTTCACACTTGCCATGACACGGTCAATATCTCTTCTCTGCTCCCCGAGAATTGGCATAAGATCAGCGGTTTGTCCAATGTTCAGCTCGAAGATTTGACCAGAAGATGGTGCTTCGGTATCTTCAATCTCGCTGCCCCTTCGGTGGGGTACTGATCGCTGCTTGGACGATGTTGGCCCTGACAAATTCGGCCTAGAAGCCAAAGGGTCTTTTGGGCTGGTGTCCAGAACATTGTTCTGGCGTTTCTTGGGTTTTGCTTCCACAAGATTGCCTGATGTGATAGACTTCATTGTCATCTTGGTAAGCTTGAGGTAGCTGCGGTTGCTACAGGGCGGAGAGTTAGTCCCTCATGATCTAGACCTGTCACAAGAGCGGAGTCTTTCTCCAAACCAAGCAGCCGCTTCTAGAACCATGGAGAGGCGTAATGGACTTCAACAGCATTGTTGGTATCTTACAATGGATCACTGTCTTTACTAGGAACAATACACTAACGAAACTTCTGCTTACACATTCGTCCTCTTCTCGACCGGTGCCTCCACGCACCTCACTCCCAACGTCGTCTTGCAGCGGTGGCATCGCAAAGGTTTCACCAAGCAACCCTCCAACTCCGAGTCCTTGGATCCCTCTCGGATCTGCTCCACCATTTCTAGGCCTGGATCCGTGAAAGCCCCTGGGCTTTCATACGTTGAATAAGAAGTCGAAACTTCGATCCAATCGTTTAACGAGATACAAATGAGAATATTGCACTCGTTGCACTGGCAGCTTATCGTTTCTGCTATATCCATGGCGCGTCCTTTGAAATTGGAAGCGCGACTTCACATGACAGGCGGAGACAGAAGACTATTCAATCCATCAGGAAACTTGTGAGTCTGCGAAAAATGGACTTGGGCAATCTTGAAGCTGCTCGTCCATTGGTAAATGGGAGGTAGGAATACTGTTGGCGGCACCAGGCGGCAAATTCCTGATGAGGAAATTTCGAAGCTTTCGGAGACAGCACGAATGCAGGGTAGGTACGGTGAAAAGACTGCATGCAAAAAACAGTGAACGTCTGAAGCATTGAAACTTGTTGTATACTTATTTCGACGTCGGTTCTAGGCATGAATCCAAGTGACACTGTCTTTCGTAATGGATTTAACGCTTTCGGTTGCCAATAATGTTCAAAGATGAAATCAATTGAGAAGCAATCTTTAAGCTTCATATATGCACTTTCTGTAAGAGAAGAGCATTCGAAAGCGCCAAAACATGCTCATTGATGCTACTCCTATCGACTTATTAGGACATCTTCCCCCTTCGACTGACACTTGCTCTGGCATATTGCCTGCCGCCCACCCTGCATGAGAGAACATGCCTTTCGCATTTACGTTGCCCACCACTTCGGCCCTCCCCTTCTCATCTTTCGTTCACAGTACGACTCACCCTTCTTTGCCGCTGGCTGCCTCGACCCATCGAAGTGTGTTCCGGAGTGTACTGAAGAAACACAAACGTCTTCCTCCCTCGTCCAGAACGTCCTACTTGAGCACCATCCTAGCTACCTTCGACGACTATCTACCCTACCTGCTTACGCTAGAGGCTGCGTTGTGCGGAAAACCAGTCAATGGGGAAGAGATAGACCTGGCGCTCAAGAAAGAGATTGATGTGGAATGGCGGACTACTTTGACAGCTACAATCCCAGGGCGAGAGCCTCCTCGGGTCAAAGGCAAAGGGCTAGACTTCGAGATTTCGTTCGTACTCCATACACTCACGTGTCTCTATACGTTACAAGCAAGAGCGCAGCTTCTAGCTCTGTATGGAGCAATCACTCCTACCGCTGAACAGAGAACCGCTATCATCACGACAGCCACCAAGCAGCTTCTGCAAGCGAACTCGATCCACAATTACCTAGCATCACGCGCTGCTGAAATAGACGCCTCTTGTGCAATTTTGGAGACTCTGGCTCAAACACAAGGCGGTCTTGCCGCGTTGGCACTTGCCGAAGCTACCCTTCTGGCCGTGTTGAAAGATGATCCATATCCTGCAGTAGTTGCTCAAGATCGTAATAAGAATGACAAAGATTGGATGATCAAGCCCCCAGAAATACCAAAAGTGCGAGCTCATCTGTTTGCAAGGCTGTGTCTTGCAGCCGCGGAACACGCTGGGAAGGCCGAGGCCATGCTGAGCGCCTCAGGCCGAATAGACGAAGCATTGATCAAGTATGTCAATGGACTAAAGAGGACCTCGAGAGCAAAAGCGTGTCGATTCTTTGGCATTGATGCCGACTTGGGGGGTGAGACCGGGCAAGGGATTGCTTGGCTCACTGGAGGTAAAAAGCAATTGGGCTTTGCAGGCGCAAAGGATGAGGGATCGAAGATGAAAGGCTTGGCAAAGTTCAAGAAAGACTGGACAGAGCGGAGAGAGGACAAGAAGATAGAAAGAGGCGGTGAGTGGGGGAGTGACGCTGGTCGACTGGAGGAACTGAGAGTGATTGAGATGCTGGAACAGAAATGGAACAAAATAAATGACACGGTAGGCCGCGCCCAGGACTTGCCTACTGATTGTCCTAATAGAGAAGCAGATAAATACGCAATTGATACCCCCTTCTGATCCGCTTGTAGCGAACATGCCCTTAGGTAGGGATATTCATTCGGCGAAGTCTTTTGTACCTCCCAGTCTCGATGACGACACATTGACACGCATGCGTGCTCCGCCTGATGTTGACGAGATGAGTGATGGTGATGATGATGAGAGTGGCAGCGATGAGGGTGAGAAGGCTCAGGCTGGCTTGCCTGGAGCTTTCCCGGGGTCCTCTTCCACCCCCTCGAATGACAATTCGTACTATTAACAAAAATGCATTCATGAAGTATCGCAGCTCCGTGACTTCCAAATTCTTGATATTGAGAGTTAATGCAAAGCGCAAATCCCCAACCCCTTCATGGATGACCCACTGAACGCCATCTAATTATGTACACCCATGCTTTTCTTCCCGTAGACGTCTCGTCTCAATAGCAATGCTGTATTTCTCATCGATGCAAACGCCCTTCACTCATCCCCTGGAACATAATTCTGCTGCTGAAACAAATACCCTCGTACCTTGGCATCCTTCAATGCCTCAAAATATCTTTCTACATATCAATTAGCCTGCAACCTGCAGCTCCCCCAATAGCCGTCCCTTCTCAGGACGATTATCCAAACAACATACCTCTCAGACCCCCACACTTCTCCAAATGATTAACCCCTTCCTTAATATAACACTTCCCCAATTCGTCCCGTATTAACCTAGCCATCATGCTCTTAACCCATTGTTCCCTAATAATAGCATCCTGCGCTGCCTTCAGCCGTGGCGTATCCGCGTAGTCTACTCCTTGGAAGGTTGGCGGGACTTGGGGCTTTTTTGCAAGGAAGAGGGCGGATTCTGGGGTTGGCATGCTGCCGCTGCCGCTGCTGCTGCTTGTATCTCGGCGGATGATGTTCGGTGGTGTTTGGAGTGTTTGGATTGGAGCTGGGAGCGGTGATAATGATAGAGACTAGAGTGGTATTTGACAACGGCGGGAGGTGGTTCTGGGAGAGGAGGGAGGAGACTTGTTGCGAGCCTTGAGATGGCGGAGGTGATTTCGGAGACCGTGGTGGGCATACTGCTCATGGCGTTGTTTTAGCAATATAGACGTCTCAATACCAATGACGTTGGGGGTGATGGCAAGCCTCGGCTTTCACTCAAGCTTGGAACAACAGATTTGATAATACCTTTTATCACTTTTGCGTTGCCAGTTTCTTGATTGCTCCTTCCTTTGCATCGTAACAAGCCAAACCTGCCACCTTCTACACATGATGTCTTTCCTCGGCGGCGCCGAATGCTCGACCGCAGGGAACCCACTGAGCCAATTCACAAAACACGTACAGGATGACAAGTCGTTACACCGGGACAGGCTTATGGGGCGAGGGCCCGCAGGTCTGCAAGAAAGCTTCAGGAGTCAAGTGAATGGGCCAAGCGAAGATAAGGTGAGTTGCCTGGTTGCGGCAAACCTAAGTTCTTGCACCGTGGGCCCTCCCAGGAGCTAGATCATGGCTAATGCGTAGCTACAGATGATGCAAGATTTCTTACAGCATAATGGTCAGCTCCACCAAGATGTACCCCAACCCTTCGCAATGGAGCAGATGCGAAGAGACTTGGATGGCTATCGAACAACCACCCCCCGAATACACTCACCTGGCTGGGCATCGGAATTCGATCGCGGAGAGCAAGCGCGCTTGGAGGCTGCGTTCCAAGCGCCAAAATCTGGAGGCTTTGTCCCTGCTGGCTTTACACCAGCTGAGTTTCAGCGATTCCAGCAGATTGAGAGGAATGGATCAGCTAGGGTTGGGAGTCCAACCTCGTACACAGATCTAGGGATGAATGGCTACAATAGATCGATGGGAATGGGCTACGGAATGAATATTGGGATGATGGGCTCACAGTATAGGCCAATGGGCTTGCAGAGGAGACCGTCAGAACAGCAGACCACTGGCAAAGGAAAAGGACGAATGGTGGAGCTTGATGAGAAAGATTGGGAACAGCAGTTCGCAGAAATGGACGCAGAAACTCAACGCGATTTAGACGCTGAAGCAAACGCAGCGATAGAGCAGGAGCTCAATAACATGGACAGGTCAGTCCTTTCCGAGACCAATGAGTTTGGCGACTTCGAGAGCGTGTGGCGAGGAATACAAGCTGAGACTGCCAACGCTAGATCCATGATGGATAATGGCGAATACGGTATGCACATGGGCGAGGAATTACCGTTACGAGACTACGATACTTGGGACAACTTTGACAGCAACTTTCATGACGGTTACCGGGATCCTCAGATGGGCAATTATACTTTTGAAGAAGACAATCCTTTCAGCGCAACTAAAGACCCGTTCGAAGAAGGCATCAAAGTAATGAATGAGGGTGGTAATCTTTCCCTGGCCGCTCTCGCTTTCGAAGCCGCTGTACAGAGAGATCCGCAACACGTACAAGCCTGGTGCCAACTCGGCAGCGCACAAGCCCAGAACGAAAAAGAGTCGCCAGCCATTCGCGCTCTCGAACAAGCTATCAAGCTCGATCCCAAAAACCTCTCAGCCTTAATGGGTCTCGCTATATCATATACAAACGAGGGTTACGACTCCACCGCCTACCGCACTTTAGAACGCTGGGTTTCAACAAAGTATCCTCAGATCGTTTCTCCCGATGACCTTACCCCGCCAGGTGATTTCGGTTTCACAGACCGCCACGTTCTCCATGAAAAGGTGACGACCCAATTCATCCGCGCAGCCCAACTCTCCCCAGATGGCGAACACATGGACCCAGACGTGCAAGTGGGTTTAGGCGTGCTCTTTTACGGTGCAGAAGAGTACGGCAAAGCTGTTGATTGCTTTGAATCGGCGCTTACAAGCACTGAGTCTGGAACAACTAATGAACCTCACCAAGCGCACCTTCTCTGGAATCGGTTGGGCGCCACACTCGCAAACAGCGGCCGCAGCGAAGAGGCAATCGCAGCATACGAAAAAGCTCTAACCCTAAACCCCAATTTCGTCCGCGCTCGTTATAACCTCGGCGTTTCCTGCATCAACATCGGTGTGCTCCCCCAAGCGGCACAGCACCTCCTTGGCGCACTAAGTATGCATCGTGTCGTCGAGCGCGAGGGCATGCAACGTGTCAAGGAGGTCATAGGCGAGGATCCAGAAAGTAGTACGATCGACGAAAGCGATGTGGAGAGGATGGTGGGTATGAATCAAAGTACGAATTTGTTGGAGACACTGAGGAGGGTTTTTATGAACATGGGAAGAAGAGATCTGATGGAGAAGGTGGAGCTGGGAATGGATATTGAGCAGTTCAGGGGGGAGTTTGATTTCTGAGGTTGGTGCCCATGCGGCAGAGAGAAGGATTTAAGAGCAGCTGATGAAGATAATCGAAGCCATAGGCTTCTCCCACGCTTGAATTGTAGATAGAGGATGGCATTGGGAACAGCTACAGGAAGCCATGCAAGGGAAGATCGACTTGTATCTATATCAAGGCTCTCGACGAATCTATGAATGTATTTACCATGCAATACCTTTCCAATCAACCACGACTATAACTTGGTGGCTGCGCTGATGATGTCCCCTCACATACCCACTACCCGCAATCAGGCCATCACCACACCCTATATCGATTGCTGCCAATGCTCCTCAAACCGCTCCAGTTAGAAGGAGGGTGTACCCGCGGCCATAGTCCGACGATCAGTGGTTGAAGTCGTACTGGAGGACGTTGACCGCCAACTCCGAGTTTTGCTTGATGCTGAAGACGCTGAGAAGTGCTCTTACTCATTGAGATTATGGGAAAGGAAGTGCATCTTCAAACTTATACGCCTGACGCTTTGCATAACGCGGAGAAAAATCAGACTTGGTGGGTTTCTCTGCGTGGCCGAGTATTTAATGATACAACATATTGACAAGGTTTTTTCGCTTGTCACGGCCTGTTTCCCCGTGTTATAAAGGATCGTCAAGGCTTCAAACGACGGCGATGCTGATAAGAGTCAAGCAACGCAAATTTAGATGTTTCTGGGGTCCGTACTAGTACCGGCAGATAGTGGTCTGGGGTGCCGTTGCAACGGACGTGCTGTTGCCGATAAGGGAGCTTCGATGATAGAGCTGATACCCAGCACAGCAGCGGCAGACAGCACATTGATATTTGCGCAGATTGATAGACACTAATGTCAATCTTGCCACTGACTTTTCATCTTCGGCGACTTGTGCATCATGACATACATATATTCTCCGATCATGTCCGAATTCACTCTCGTTACCCAGCGCTCAAAAATCCTCCCACCATTCGAATTAACCCCGCTCCACAACTCCTCATATGACATATCATGCTCAATTGATTGCTGAGCAGCACAGGACTTAAACTGAACCCACCATGAAGCGCAGATCAGATCAAGTTGACGATTTGGAGGTCGCTGAAAAAGGCAAACGGCGAGCACCGAGCCACCAAGATCGCTTTCGAGAAGGGCTGTTTGGCGGATCTGTCTTGGACGAATATAGAAGGAGCTATGCCACCTCTAAGCCGTGAGCATTGAAAGTACGCATCGATGACATCCAATTAAATGCTGACAGCTCACAGATACCGTCACGGCGTCATCCAAAGCCTCATCTCTCCCGCACTCCTTCGCAGCGTGCGCTCCGAAATCCAGAACCTTTCCTTCACTCCCAAAGAAACGGACATCTACAAGATCCACCAATCTGGGGACTTGGCAAATCTTGATGGCCTGGATGACTCCTCTCTCAAGCTTCTGCCTTCATTACTCACACTCCGCGATGCCATGTACTCCTCAGATTTCCGGGAGTACCTATCCACCGTTACAGACTCTGGTCCGCTCTCTGGAAAAAAGACGGACATGGCGATCAATGTCTATACACCCGGCTGTCACTTACTATGTCACGACGACGTCATTGGAAGTCGAAGAGTTAGCTATATCCTCTACCTGACGGATCCAGATACACCTTGGAAGGAAGAGTGGGGCGGCGCATTGCGCTTGTATCCCACACAAACCTACACTGAGGACGATGGAGAGGTCACCAAGGTCCCAAGTCCGGACTATAGTGTCTCGATACCGCCGGCATTCAACCAATTGAGCTTCTTTGCCGTGCAGCCAGGCGAAAGCTTTCACGATGTACAGGAGGTCTACGCTGAGGATGAGGAGATAGATAAAGAGAAGGCCGGTGGGAGGGCCAGAATGGCAATAAGTGGATGGTACCACATACCACAAGAAGGTGAAGATGGTTACGTCGAGGGTTTAGAAGAACGGCTGGCGGACAAGAGCAGCCTCATGCAATTACAAGGCAAAGGAGACAAGTATGAGCTTCCAAAATCGAATTTCGAGCTCTACAAGAAGTCTGCAGAGAGCAGTGGCGACATTGGTCTACCGACCCCATCGTCACAGGAGGACCCTGCTCTTTCGGAAGAGGACCTCAATTTCCTCCTAAAGTATATCGCTCCCACGTACCTTACGCCAGATACCCTCGAATCAGTCTCCGGGATCTTCGCTGAGGAGTTTTCCCTTTGTCTTGATACCTTCCTATCCCACAAGTTCTCTGACTCAGTCCGGGACTACATTGAATCTCAGGAATCGCAGACACTACCAAGCGAGTCCACCGAAATTGAGAAAACGACATCATGGGCTGTTGCCAGGCCGCCACACAAGCATCATTTTCTTTTCCAAAAAGCTAGCTCAAGCGAGCGCCGAGAATCTCCGCTTCTTGACTTGCTAGAAGATCTTTTGCCTTCTGAAGCTTTCCAGAAGTGGCTTTCTCTCGCGACAGGCCAGACTGTTATGTCACATAATTTACTTGTTCGGCGTTTTCGGCGAGGACGGGATTACACGCTTGCTACTGGGTATGAGGAACACGCCCCGCGTATCGAGCTTTGTCTGTCCATTACGCCTACTTCCGGATGGGGAGATGACGAGAATGCTGAGTCAGAGAAAGATACTAATAAGGAAGTCGCAGTCAAGGAAAAAGATGAAGCTGAGGAAATCGCTACCACAGCGGACGAGCCTAGTGTAGGCGGCTACCTCGCCTACATGGCCGGCGAAGATGAGGACGACCCTGACCATGACGAAGGGGGCAGCGACCATGGTGTCGAAGTTCCGTTCGACATGAGCACTGGAGCTCGGTCCACAAGAGCCGCTAACCCTAAGAAGTCAAAGCAAGATCCAGCCATCTACCAAGCCAGCGGCGACGATGACGAGGATGGCGTCCTTTTCAGTATGCCCGCGGGCTGGAATCGTCTGGGTGTAGTCTTGAGGGACAAAGGAACCATGCGCTTCGTCAAGTATGTGAGCCGGATGGCGAAGGGTGATAGATGGGATTTGGTTGGAGAATTCGACGTTCTCGACGATGAGAGCGACGAGGAAGATGATGAAGGCAAAGTAAATGAGACAGGGGTTAGGAGTGAAGCTGATGATGGAACTCATGAAGATGAGGATGATGATGACAGTGATGACAATCATGAAGATTCTTCTACTGAGCATAGTGATTAGAACTACTCTGGACAGTGGGAAAGAGATCCGTCATGAGTGCGAAGAACATGTCTTATCTTGATAGCCAAGGGACCACAATGAAGTCAGTGCGGAGTTCATGGTGATGGCAAGGGCTGTTCTCAACTCGGCCACACTTGGGCTATTCGAGAGATATTTGGCCCATGAATCGGAGCAAAGTTGGCTTCCATGAGATTTTTAGGATGAGGTTTAAGAGCCTGAAAACCAAAGGAGTGGGTGCAGCACCCTTATCGGTCGTCTTGCTTTGAAATCAGCATATATTCTCTTAAGTGGTCTCTAAGCTGGGTACAACAACCCAGCCAAACTACTTAAATCTGGTAGGAAATCGACGGCCAAAGGCAGGCGAAGCCGGCAGCCGTTTGTCACCCCGAGACATTTTTTGCTGTCACACTTGACTTCCACTCACCTCTCGTTCATAAATACTCGTCCTCGCAGAACATTGGTTCAGCATCTGTCCAATTCCGAGGAGCCGCACCCCAGAGACTTCGCTCGTTCCTGGAAACCTGCCCCAAAACCGTAGGGCTTGAGCTGAAAACCCCAACACACACAAGGACTCCAAGATCTGCAATCCAGACAACGCGACAGCTTCAGAACCTGCGAATCGAGGGAACCCCCCACGAGCCATCACCAGTTCCACAGTCGCCATAACTCAAGCCATTGAGCCAGCCTTCGAACCCGGGGAGCCTGATAGCAGAGTCTGGTGAAAAACGCCGGATGATATTCTCAAGCTCATCGTTGAGGAGGCAGACCAAGCAACACAGGTCGTCTGGTCTCATACCGGCAGCGTATCTCACGAGGTCTCGAGCGCCTTGAAATTTACATCGACGGAGAGGATCTTCGGACTCACCGGTAATGGACACGGACTCAGCCTCCACCTTCCATTGTAAGACGGGAGATTGGCGGGATCGTTGATTTCCTCGTTCGGGGTCCGGCCCACCGAGACTCTCATCAAACGTCTAAGACTTGTCACGAAGAGATGATAATGTTGAAACGAATAATTACTAATAATCGTACATACTTTTGTGTGTGAGGTAAGGAACCTGCTTTAGTGGCAAGCTTTGACATCACGTTTGCACACGCTAAATTCCTGCTGAACTTGTACCGCAAAGACGGCTCTTCCTTCAAGGGTGTGTTGGATTTTTCGTAGCTAGTTGACATTAATCACATGTGGTTGATGACTGTGCGAGTATTAATAATGCCTTTTCTCCGCACATACTGGCACAGGGCGATCTTCTAAGTATGTGCAAATAAGACACTCTGTTATAACGGGCTAATCTATCTCGAACACGAGCTGGTACAAGAGAGCTCAGGATCCCGTGATCTATCTGCCACCTGTAACATTATCTATCTCTTGCGCTTATGCCGATCCAAATCCCGAGGTCCCACCGGAACATGTCGGGTCTCCCTATGAGTTCCAGGTTCTGTACACCCTAGGACATAGAGCATGGGCCACTGAAGACCAATGCCGGTCACTCTTATGATGGTGGGGGACACACGACAGCGGGGTCTGTGTGCGTGTCACAATACGCCACCAGCGCGACCGGACATGGATCGGCGAGCCAGTTGGGCGAAGTCCGGTTCGGGATCAGCCCCCAAACGCCTCGAATCCGCTGGCTCAAAGATGACAGAGGACAGAGATGGTCGTGTTGATCAGCCCGGACGTTCGCACACCGTTTCCACAATAAGCGTCCGGGTTCCCGGTTTGGAGCGAGGATGGGGACAGTGGTATGCTGGGGTAGGGCTGGCTGTGGTTGTTGGCTTTGTATCCTTCCCAGAAACAGTGCCGTTAGGGGCATTGTTAACCTGTGTTTCGACCGC